CGAAGAGAGCGGGCGATGACCAGCGAGAAGACTGTGACCGGAGGTGGTGCCCTTTGCCATCTCGCCCTTTGGATCTCCTGTTTGCTGGCCTGCTGCTTGACACTGGGTGGGCGGCGTGGTCCACCTTGGCGAGCTCTGTGTGTCCGCAGCAGCCATTTGGGGTTGATCGGGATGACCGGGGCCATGCTGCACAGTGCCAGGCGCTGGGGGCACTGGAGTCAGGTCTACGATGCCTAGGCAGGCTTATATTACCTACGGCAGTATGTTGGAGGTCCTGCGGAGATGTGTCAGCACTCGTCGCCAGGGAAGAGAATCTTTGTGGTCGTCGGGTCACCAATGCCGTCATGCATGTGTATGGCAGTATGCAATGTTGTGAGCACTTAAGCCAGCATGGGTGAGATGCGATTCGCACATACACTGGTGCTTGCATTGAGGGGCGGTGCACAGAGCAGGTTGGAGGCCGAGGTCGCTGCATGTCTGGTGCAAGGCTGTGGTCTGCTGCTCCGGAGGGTGGGGAAGACCGACCAGGGGTACCTGTGCGCAGGTCTTTAGGTCGGTGCCGATGCGGGACACAGGTTCCAGCGCTGGAGGAGCAAGGGCAGGTTTCCCAAACTTGGCTGGCGCACCGGGCATGGTTAGAGGCTCCGGCCTGTGGTGTCAGCACTTCGGTCAGGGAGGTCAGTCGGGCCATTGCATCAATAAGGTTCCGGCTGGATGGAGTGGCACCAGCAGCGCAGGCCTGAGGATGGGAGCAGGAGTGGCCGAACCCTTGACCGGACCCCTTAGGTAGCATGGACTTCTTCTGTTGCAGCAGACTACGCACGAGGCATCTACTTGCAGAGGCTCGTTTGTTTTGAGGCTGTAGCATCGCGGCGTCCGAGTGAACCGGAAGAAGGGCAGATCCTGGTGTCTTGCAGAAGTGCCAGTGCCTATGGGGCACAGGGTCGGATGTGGATCGTGATGGTCCAGCCGGTTGATCCTGGCACCCAGCCGGCTGCTCGCACAGGGCGAGGTCTCGGCACAGGTGCAGCGGGTCCTCCTGTGTGGCTGCCAGCAAGGAGTACCTGGATGCGGTCCATGTGCTGCTCCATGTGGTCCAGGTACAGGTGGCGAGGGGATCGGCATGGTGTCTCCTCCTGTCGTCGGAGGCAGCGCTGCTGATGCTGCTGGAAGTGGCAGCGGAGGTGGTAGCGTAGGGTGCGAGGTGGTCGCCGCAACTGTCGCAGGCGATGCAGTGTCTGCCGTCGATCCTGCGGTAGTTGGCCTTGGGAGAGGACGATCTGTCCTGCGGGAGGTTGACCGGAGTGGGAGGTGGAGGTCCTCGGGGAGTCGATCCTGAAGCTGCCGCGGGTAGGCTTGACGGCTCCGCCGGGCTGCTGGCTTCACTGGAGCTCTCACTGGAGCTCTCCTCTTCTGGAGCCGCCTTGGACTTCGCTTTCGCGAGACCTCGTCCTCGAGCTGGGTTGGCCAGGGCAGCTGATCCTGCCGCTGCTCCCCTCCCCGATGCGGTGCCATGATCGAGACCCCGCTGCCCTGGGACTTCTAACAAAACTCTTGTGGGCTTGGGCCACCAAGGCTGCATGTGAGTCCTTCTTGTTGCTGCAGGCAGGCTGAGAGATATTGATCACAGGTTGCAGGGATGGCGTGGTCCCTGCGAGGTGGCAGGGGCCAGGAGGTTGCATCAGAGGAGGGAGTCTCGGCAGGCGGTGCCAGTACATCGGTCTGACCACAATGTGTTCTCTGCTGTGCTTGGGCATCGATATCCGCGCAGGGGAGAATTTGTGCCGCCGAGGGTGAGACCGATGCCGGCGCGCTCTCCTGGCAGGGAACATGAGACATGGGCCAGTGCCAACTCTGTGAGGTTGGGCAAGGCTGGGGCGCCGGCAGTCTTGTGTAGGGCTGGGTGTAGAGCTTGATGAGCTAGATCCCGAGCCTTCACGTCTCGCGGCAGGTTGGAGGAGGCGGGTGATGAGCTCGGCTGCCGGTAAAGGACTGCCTTTGAGAGCGGGGGCAGGTGATGCCGGAGGAGCGCGAGCGCGAGCAGTTTTAGAGGGCCTGGCCGGGGCCGGTTCCGAGTCTGAGTAGTAGGAGTAGTTGTCGTCCTCCAATGGTCTGCCTTGATCAGCACACCACTGCCGATATAGGGTCCTGGGCATGAGAGCGGGCAGGTGTCCTGTCAGCTCGACGGGGAGATGGAGTTGTAGTCCTGGGGGTCTGTCCGACTTGCTGGGTGTACTGCCAGTGGTGGGGGCTCGATGCCTCTTTTTGGGCGGTGCAGGAGGGCGTAGTTGCCTCGGTAGCGGTCTGGCCGGTGTTCCTTGGGTGCCGTGAGTAGGCGTAGTGCTTCGGGAGCGCCGTGGGCGGGAGGTGGAGCGTCTCCTGGAGCTTGGGCGTGCGGTGGAGGACCGCGGCCTGGAGTGGCTGACTGACCTTAGTCGGAGGGTGTCGTGCACAGACAGGGGTCGAGGGCTCTGCATCTCGTTCGCCTGTTCCTGAATGAGCTGCTCATGTATGCGCTGCATCCAGCCTGCAGATCGGCGGTAGAATGCCTCAGCATATATGGTGCGTGGTGGTGGCATAGCCTTCCTCGGGTGCCTCATAGCGCAGCTTTCCTGGGTGTGCAGACGGTTGAGCCTTCCAGGACGAGATTGGTCTCGTCGCCTTTTGCTGTCTGAGCGGGGCATCTGCTTCTTCGAGACCCTACGTGCCAGGGTAGGGGAATGCCTAGATGGGTGTCCCCCTTGAGAGGTGACCAGCGGCAACAGAGGCAGTGCACTGCAGACGAAGGGAGAGGTACAGGCTGTATGCCAAGGCAGTGGCAGTGGCCTCCGAAGCTGGAGTGCCAGGATGACTGGTGTCTGCCGATGTGCCTGAAGGACCTGCCGGGGCGAGCCAAGGTTGGGGTCGCAACTGGAAGCAGGCTGTCTGATGGGGGGCCATTGGCACAGGGCAGAGTTATGGGGCGCTGGCTCGGCGAGAGCGGATGGTCTGTCAGCAAGTCGCCTACCATTGTCTGTGACGGCTAGGGCGAACTTCCCAGACTGAACTGGGGGACAGGCCACCGCAGGCGAGGACTCCTCTAGCCTGGGTGCACGGGCAGAGGTGAGGTAAGTCCGGCGGGCACAATGCTTTTTGTGAGTCGCAGGCAATGGTGTCCACGTGGCGGAGTCACCTGGGCCAGTGCACAGGGAAGACAAATGGGGAGGGGTCGTAGAGAGGCAGAGATCACAGTGCACATGCGCAAGTCTGTAGCGGCTATGGCGTTCTTTTGCTGTGGCGAACATAAGGGCTGCGCTTTGCTGCTGGGTGACTTGACTGAAACTGCTGCCATCAGGGCCTGGCTGTAGAAGGAAGAGAGCCTTGCGACTTGGATGTGGGTTTCGCACCGACCGGAGAGCGGGATCTCGAGCGAGGGCGCGTTGGATCCAGGGTGTTCGTGGAGGGCTTGGCCAAGGAAGCAAGAGTCCTCTCCGCTTCTTCTGCAGCAGCCATAAGATCCGCTGTGTCGATGGAGTCCGGAGAGCCCGGCTGAGCCTGGGGCAGCTGGCCATCCTGGGGTTCTTCGGCAGTCGGCAGGGGGGCAGGGCGTTTTGCCGTAGTTGAGCCAAGGCAGTCCCAGTTATTGGTATTCCAGACCTGGTTGTGCAGTCCTGCTCGGTAGCGTTCTCTGACGATGGTGTTGTCCAGGGTCTGGTGCAAGCTGGCCAGCGTCGCGGCAAGGTCAGCACGTTCCTGGGGTGGAGGCGATCCAGACGATGCGGTGGGTTGGCCAGAGAGCGGCTGCGACATGGTGCGGCAGGTCCTCGGTAAACTGCGGGGGTCCAACGGAAATGAGACCACAGCTTGAGCCTGCAGATGTGGACAGGAGAGCAAGGAGGGCCGGGCAGTCGCTGACCGTTAGGCCATGTGCAGTGCAGCAGTACAGGCTGGGGCTCGTGCCTTCCTTTCCAGGGCAGTCCGGTCAGGCACGGGAGTTTGGGCCCAGCGGCTTGCGGACAGGGGGGGATAGGGTCAGGCAGAGGAAGGTAGGCCAGGAGGAGAAGAATGTGTGGAAGCACCATCCTGCAGCCTACTTCTACGCGCACACACACACACGCTAAGCTACGTCGTTCGAGCCCAGGTGCTTAGTAGCAGCAGCAGCAGTAGCAGTAGCAGTAGCAGTAGCAGTAGCAGTAGCAGTAGCAGTAGCAGTAGCAGTAGCAGTAGCAGTAGCAGGAGCAGCAGCAGCAGCAGCAGCAGCAGCAGCAGCAGCAGCAGCAGTAGCAGTAGCAGGAGCAGGAGCAGTAGCAGGAGCAGGAGCAGGAGCAGGAGCAGGAGCAGGAGCAGGAGTGGTAGTAGTAGTAGTAGTAGTAGTAGTAGTAGTAGTAGTAGTAGTAGTAGTAGCAGCAGCAGGAGTAGTAGTAGTAGTAGTAGTAGTAGTAGTAGTAGTAGGAGGTTATTGTTGCTGTGGCTGTTGTGATTGCTGTGGCTGTTGTGGTTGTTGTGGCTGTTGTGGTTGTTGCGTTTGCTATGGTTGTTGCGGTTGCTGTAGTTTTGTGGTTGTTGTGACTGTTGCTATTGTGGCTGGAGTGGGAGCGGGAGCAACAGTAGCAGGAGTACGAGTAGGAGTAGCAGCAGCACTAGTACCACTAGCAGCCAGTAGTCGTGGCAGTAGTATCAGTGGTAGTAGCTGTAACAGCAGCAGCAGCAGCAGCAGGAGCAGGAGCGGAGTCGATTACTTCTCTCGCTCATTTCTTTGAACCCCTTTATCCGGACTGTAAAGCCCCAATGAGAATCCCATGTCCCATAAGGCCAGTGAGACGCGGTAGAGCGTCTCCAAGCGCTAAACCTCTAAGTCTAAGCCCTTCACCCCTAGAAACCCTGAAAATCCTTCAGCCCTACACACTATGAAGCCAAACAGACCCCCCCCCCCCCAACAAACAAACAAACAAACAAACAAACAAACGAAAAGCAAACACAAAAAACAACAAACTCGTAAAGAACAGGAGTGTCCGCATCGCCTTACGCTCCTGCGGTGGCTTCCGTCGCAAGGCCACCCATCGGCGGATCCTCGGAAAGCAACGACGAGACACAGGGACTTGCCCAAGGCTTTCTTTAAGGATTGTGTAAAGTTTGATTCAACAAACCCAAGCCCCTTGCAGAACCCCGTATAGAAACCCTTTCAAACTTGAAACTCGGATGGAACCCTAGGCCCGGAAAACCCTGAAACCCGCAAGGAACCCGATAGAAACCCTTAACAACAACCTAGACTGAACCTAGAACCCTAGCAAAAGTTATAATTTTCGCTGTTTCTTGAGGATTATAATAACCAAAAATTAGAAAATATTTCTAAGTACCCCTAAGCAACTAACAACTGGAACCCTCATGGAGCCCTGGGCCCTGAAACGCCCTGGCTCGGTGCAAGCGGCCGGACAGCTAGGCGATCCACGCGGTCAGGGAGCAGCTCCTCTGCAAAGATTCTAATAACATAGGGGCCATGAGAATAGGGTTCCTTTAAAGGGTTCTATAAGGGATCTATAGGAAGCGTCTATGATATACACATGGTGCCGCGTTCCCACGCCGCAGGCCCCCCCCACCCCCGCACCCCCCATGTTATGCCTCCAGGCCTCTCCTTAGCTAACGGCGGGAGCGGGAGGATAACCCGCAACACATAGAATCACGAGACTGGGAACCACAGGGCCCCTTCCCCTTCCCGTCGACACACAGATGAGAATGATGGCGATGATGTCGTGCACAATGACGTTGATGTGCTATTCCCAGTGTGGCTGTTGGTGCTACCTTTGCTCTTGTGTTGCTCTGGGCTTCAGCACCGCATGTCCAGCGCCTGAAAATCGCGCTTGGCTGGTGATGTTCTTACGAAAACTGTATCGAGCGTTGTCATTCCAAGCCAAGTTGCCGTTGGGCTCGTCAAAAGTAAGCTTGAGCACGTTGTTGAATGATTTTCATTCGGGAATCTTGAGCAAGGGACCGGAGGAGAGTGCGGATGGGGATCAGGACCGCCATCTTCGTCATCATCATCACCAACATATTCATCACTATCATTGGCTTTGGAGCTCAGGGTGTAGTGGAACTGTATCACATCCTAAGGTCCAAACCCTTAGCAGCCGGACGCCCGACCAGCAATAGCCATGAAGGGGGCACAGCCGACCATAAGGACGCCGAATAAGGTACCCGTTAATTTAGGAAACTCCCATATAGGGCTAACAAGGTTCCATTAAGGGTTCTTTGCAGGTTCTTTTATACGGGCGTGTATCAGGGTTCAATCACTTGCGGGCCTTAGGAGTTGAAATAGGATTTTGTGGCCCAGAGTAATCCTTCCAGAAAGATACTATTGGTAGTAGCTCAAGCCCCTAAATTCGTGTGGTCTGAAGGTTTAAGCTGCAAGACTTAGAGTTGGGGGCTTATGGTTTAGGGCTCGGGTCGAAGAGTCAGGCTCAAGGAAAGGTTTAGGCTGAGCACTCCTCAACCCTAGTACCTAAACTCACCGAACCCCTACCCACTACCAATCCGGCATGGAAACCCGTATGCAGACCTTTTAACAGCACCTTGACGTCTGAGCCGTGCACCCTAAACCATGAACTCCCCCTTTCTGCGACCCGAGGCGCGATATCGCCTCCCGCCACGAGGCCGCCGAGAGCGACCGCATCGATGGCACCGTCAAGTTCAGGGAGCCTGGGTTTTGCAAGTATTTTCGATTCTAGTAGCTAGGCTTTCATAGACTCATGGAGTTTTGAATTGAAGTTTGTAGAGGGCTTGCATAGGGCTTTATGAATGCTTAACGGTGTCTTATGTAGGACTTTTACGGGCTGACGGGTTGTTAAGGGCGCCACAGGTTGGCTTCCAGACTAGTGCGTTCAGGGCGTGGGGTTTAGGGTGTTGCGGTTGAGATTAGCTAGGATGTTAGGTTAAGGGTCCAGTCCAGGTTCTGGATAAGCCTTACAGTAGTCGTCGTGCATGTGCAGTTGGTGCTTGCGCTGAGGCTTTGGTCTTGGGCTTTCAAGCCTTACTGTACAGGTGAGAGTCGGTGAGAGTCTAGGGCTTTTCAAAGAAGAAAGCAGTTCAACATGGAAAGCAACAGCAGGCCTTTACAAACTTCAAACTCCCTTCCTCCTAAGGCAGGCTATTTGGGCATTCCGCAGATTTATACTGGATAGGGGGGGCTAGGCTTGTCCAGTTCAGGGCTCCATCGGGAGTTTGTGGATCGCTGTGGTGGTCCATAATCTGGGTCGCACCCTCCCGAAGCCTTAAACCCTAAACCCTAAACAACCTTCTACCCCCTAGTTCTGCGAAGCCCGACAATCCTGGAGAGCATAGAGGACCTTTGCATGGCCCCGTTTCAAAGCCCCTAAACCAACAACCGAGCAAGTCATCCTACAATCCAGACTCGAACAGAGGCACCAAACAAGCACCTAAATATGAACTGTTACAGGCAACTTCTCGTTGCTGTTTATGTCGATCTTTGGTACGCTAAGCTCACACTAGGAATCCCTCCCAGTCCCTGCGATTCAAGCGGCGCATAGAGGACGGCTCCTTGCAGCCCGCCGATGCCTGCGACCACGTCTAGGGCCGGGGTCTTGCGAATTTACCTTGGGCCCCTAAACCCTAAAACCTAAACCCTAAACCGGAGTTTCAAATATGAAGCCGAGGTCACTGGTTCGGCTCCTTTTGAAAATGAGATAAGGCGAAGGATTCTACGAAGTCTAGCGACAAACCAAGGATCTCTCCTGAAGGATGAGCAAGCAGTCATCTTTGCACGGGCATCGTAATTATGGCTTTTTTGAGTGCTGGGATCCGGGGCACCGGCTTGAAACCCCCTTTATATGGGTGGTTGTCAAAATTAGGGTCCCTTTTTGGGTCCTTATTATAATACGGCACCTATTATTCAGGGTACCCAATAAGGGACCATAATCTTGACAACCACCCATATAGCTTGTTCTGCGCGAAGCCGAAGCCCCAAAGCCTGAAACCTGAACCTCTGAACCCTGAGCCCTAGGCTTAAGCAGAAGACCTCCCGAATCTCTAAACCCTATAGCCCTAAACTGCGCATAAGCCCTAAACCCTAAACCCCCATCCCTAAACCCTCGAACCTAAGACAACTCCCAAGCCTAGAGCCTCACAGAGAAGCTGATACAGAAGCCTGCAGAATTGGACTAAGTCCTTCTGCGGGGCCCCATACCAGAACTACATGTGGGGTCCCGTGCCGCAGCTTGATGCCTTTTCTGGAAGGACGAGCGCTTCATTCATAGCGTAACGAAATACGGACTTGCAGGGGATGTTCTTCCAACCCAAAACCACATTAGGGAGCCCCCAAGGAATTGCATCACTTCCAATTCCGGCCCCGACATAACGGCCAGCTCAGCCGGTCCTGGGACTTAAGTTCGCCCACAGGGTTTAGGTCCAATGCTTCGGGCCCAAAAAGAATAACGATAAATGTTACTAATGATGGTAATGAAGCCAATGTCAGCAATCCTATCATATCTCAGTGACAGTGTCGAGTCTACCGTATGGCGTTATTGAGAAACAATCACACCCTCGAAAAGCCTCCACCTCTCGATGCCTCCAAAAAACCTCCGAGATAGGTCCTTCATCCCAACCTCCAACCCTCCCAGAACGAGGTTCCCAAAAATGAAGCAGCTGAGTCAACCCTAAACTCCATGCTAGAAACCAGAAAGTTGGAACATGGCTTTAGGAGGAATAGTGCTAGGATCCCTCATACAGTACCTTAAAGGCATGAGGATACTGATGTTCCAACTTTCTGGCTTCTACCATAGGCCTCTAACGCCCTAGAGCTTCAAACTCGAAACCCTCATTAGCTGAGTACTTGCCTTGGTCCTTCCAGGAAGCAACGTCCTGCATTCGGTTCCGAAGTTTTAAAGCCGAGGAGCTTTGGTTGGAAGTTTTGAAAGGCGGTTTTGGATTTCGGGCTGAGGGCTTAAATCTTAAGGGTTTAGGCTTTGGGCTCAGGATTTAGGGTTTGGGGAGGACCCTAAACACCGCCAAACCCTGAACGCCAGCGCTTAAGGAAGCAGTTAATTCCCCTTGCCTGGAGAGGGGGAGGGGGGTAGGATCAAGCTCGCGGGGTCTGCATGAACATTGCACTGCCAGGAAAGCCTCACGAGTTGAACAATCAGACATTGCGGTTCACTGGATTCCTGCTGAGAAACTCAAGCCAAGTCACGATATTGCTGCAAGTACTTTATTCAAAAGACATACCCCGATTTGGATTCCTGAAGACATTTAAACTTCTTTCAAAGCCCTTAAAGAGTTTGGAGTTTCAGTTCCGCCGTGGTCCTGGATGAGAAGCGGTGCTGCAACAAAGTAGGGCACATTCAGCGACGTCAAGATCTCCTGTCATGTGCTGTAGGCTCTGGTTTGCTGTTTAAGATCCTCGGGCTTCTATGTAGTGCGAGTCTCTACTATACTTTTTTGATAAGGCTTCGTCTTTTGGACTGTGATGAGATCCTCAAGGACTTTACAGGATGTCTAAAGGGTGTTTATCGGGATTTGCTTCTTTATAACTACTCTCCCTGCACTGACAGCATTTGCTTCGAAGCAAAACCGCTGGGCCGCAAGAGGGCTCGCTTTATAACTCAAGATCGTATATACATTACCTGATGAGGCCCCGAACCGACTTATCTCGGAGAACACCCCGAGCCTTTGCTGACGTTAATTAGTCCTGACTCAACACCCGAAATATATCAAAACCCTTGCAGAGCTCAGTGCTTTATTGTCAAAGGCTGGGCACGTGGGATTCTCTGATTCGGGTTTCGCATTTCGGCGTTCGGGTTTCCGGGTTTAGGCTCCGCGGTTCGATCGCCAGTTCTCCTGTAGAGGGTTCCGGCTCGATTTCAAGGTTTAGGCGCTGGACTTGACGACTTAGGCTGTGGGATTTCGATTTCGGACTTTAAGGCTCTGGTCAGAGGGAGAGGGAGAGGTTGGAGGGTCATGGGTAGCTACAAGTAGGGTAACTATAGATATAACCCATATTAGCGGACTTATAACCCCACTTATAAGTACCCTGAACCTCCAAGTAAGGCTCTGATATCCAACCGGATAAAGGCATTCGCAAATTCGGCCTGCGGCTGAGGGCTTCGATTGCTCACAGTCTCCACGCTGCAAATGCATATGGGTAGTTGTCAAAATTAGGGTCCCTTTTTGGGTACCCTGCATATTAGGTGCCGTGTTATAATAGGGACCCAAAAAGGGGCCCTAATTTTGACAACCACCCCTATAGCGAAGTCAAGGCTTATGGCTTTCATGCAAGTTCTATAGTCCTACATCCTATGCATCAAGCTACAGAACTCAGAAACCCCGAACCCTAAACTCTCACTTAGAATTCTGCTTCAACCTTCGAACCTGCCGCTCTAGGCTTGAAGCACTCCTCAACACCACACTCTGCACCCTACAGTCCCTAGAACTCCAAAACGTGCGCCCTGCTTGCTCTCTCTCTCTCTCTCTCTCTCTCTCTCTCTCTCTCTCTCTCTCTCTCTCTCTCTCTCTCTCTCTAGGTTTTAAGGCTTAGGGCTGCAGGTGTATAGCTCAGGAATCCCTAAACCCAAACCTCTGCACCCTACATGTAGCTGGAATCCTTCGCGATCTCGCTGTTGCGCCCCCCCTCCATGGAGCCTACTCGGAGGCTCATGGGTAGTTGTAAGTAGGGTTACAAGGGGTCTATAGGGTTCCTTTAAGGGTTCTATAGTGTTTAGGGTTTAGGGTAGTTATACGTAGGGTTATAAGTAGGGTAACTATTCTTATAACCCATGTTAGGGGACGTATAATCCGTCGTATAACCACCCATGAACCTTCAAGTATGGGATTTAACGCTGCCCAGGCTTTGGGCCTTGGAATTCTCAGGGATTCGGACCACGGCTTCCCAAGCCGTGATATGGGAATTTCCGAAAATGGGGGACCCTAATATACTGTTGATGATATAAATCCTGCATTACCTTAAGGACCCTAAACTATGGAAATCATGGTATATTCCTTATTATGGGTAATGCAGGATTTATATCATCAAAAGTCGTACCCTAAATAGTGGGATCATTCTTACAGGGACCCCCAAATGAGGTATCCCAATTTTCGGAAACTCCCATATGTGGCGAGCTTCGGTTCCAGGATCTGCACAGGCTCCGGATTCCAAAAACACGAGTTCCACCAAAGTTGTACAGTGTCGTAGGATCCTCAGCACAAGGCAGCAAAGGGCCCGTCATGCGTTTTCAAAACCGTAATCCTTACCTGAAAACCAAACCCCACTCAAAATGGTATCTATGCGACTCCTGCGGGATCCATCCGAAAACTGCAGCGCAGAAAAACAGGAAGTAGTCTGTAAATACGTCTATTGCTGCGACGCGTCCGAAACAGCATGAAAGAGGCAGCGCTGAACATATGTTGTAGCTTGCGGCTCTTACAGGAACAAGCGATTCATACTTCGAGGTTCATGGGTAGTTATAAGTAGGGTAACTATACTTATATCCCATATTAGGGGACTTATAATCCCGCTTATAACTCCCCAAACCCTAAACCCTATAGAACCCTTAAAGGAACCCTAGAGACCCCTTATAACCCTACTTATAACTACCCCTGAACCTCCAAGTACATCAATCCTGCTCTGGCTTTTCTCACGTCTCAGGAGGAGACCTGCGGGCCCACCAACGAGAGGAAAGCCTCATCGAGATATGGGAGTTTCTGAAAATTAGGGGTGCCTCTTTTTGGGCTCCTTAGAATAAGGATCCTATATTAGGGCCCCCTATTTTCGAAAACTCCCATATGGGTGTAGGTTTAGGGTCTTGAGATAAGTTGGGCTGTAGGGTTTCGTGTTTATGTCGGGTCTATCTAGGAGTCCACGCAGGCTTTGAGCACCCTCAACCCTAAACCGTAAGCCCTAACCCCTAAACCCCTCCTAAACTGCAGGGAGCCTTGGGGCCCATTATGTCCCAAAAGCACAAGACCCGCCAAACCTTGGGCTTTAGGGCTCCAGTATCATGTCGAAGTTGGATCCGGGTGGAGGGATGTTAAGAGCATTATTATTACTAGTATTATTATTATTGTTATTATTATTATTATGATTAGTATTGTTATTAGTATTGTTATTATTATTATTATTTATATTATACAAGGGCCTAAATTAATGCCTTGTTCTAGGCCCCTTATAGAACCCTAAACCCTAACCCTCAAAGGAATCTTATTCTAATGATAAGGGCCTACATGCCCTACTAAACCCTAAACTGTCAAAGGAACCCTGTTCTCATGATGAAAGTTCCCGTATTAGGCTTCTGTGCAGGGGCTTGTTTGAGCTTGGACTGTCGAGCTTCTGGCGTTTGGCTCCCCGCCCTTCACTGGCTATGGTCTGGGGTCCAACCTTCGGTGATGGCAGGGCTTACCGTTGGTTAGTAGGGAATGGAAAAATGGTAGTAATGGTAGTTATAATTCTACCCCATTCCTCAATTCCCTACTTACCCAAGGTAAGAGGGTCGCATGAAGGATTCGGGCTGTTCCGACGGGTGCAGGATCTGCGCCTGAGCCCGGCCTAAGGTAGGATAATTTGCATGGACTTAGGCTTGTTTATTTTTGTCTGATGAATTTGAAGAGTTTCGCGAACATGCCTTGTCCTTTGGGCAGTGGCAGAGCCAACTTGGCGAAGGTGGTTCAGTTACAACTGTAGTCGCCCAAGCCGCAAGTGCCACGAGCCCCGCACGCAGCGCACCTATATCGAGGCTGCCTCGAGTCTTCAATCACCCAGCGCTCCCAAGAAGGCCTCAGACCTTCCCTAAATTTCAAATGCCCTAAATCTCACCTGGAAAGCCTGAAGCCGAGGCAATCTCCGAAGTCCTGCAACCGCTCACCCGAGGTGCCGAAGCCCTAGCCTTACCTCTGCGGGAGCGGGAGAGCACAATACGGGACCCCAACAGAAACCCTCAATACTCTAGCCCCTTAATGAATCAACCCTTCTCCCGATTACGGGGATCCTCATATCATTTCAGTGACCTACAGCATAAATTACAAGAACTTCCCGGAGCCAACACGATCGCCGCCTATGGTGTTGACGACGGCGTCCACATGCACTGCATCCGGCGAGAGAGTCCTCTGAGTTCGTTGGGATTTCGGGCCATGTGCAACCATGATTGGGGATTCATGTGCCAGCGGAATCGCACAACAGCTCGCAACAAGACCTGCCTCTGCCATTTGCTCCCCCGCTGCGCAGAGCTCTGAACCCCGAATTCTTACATGGAGTCATGAGTAGGAGCCAACACATGCACCGGACCGCGGGCTTAAGTGAGGTTTCGCACGAGCTCTAGAGCCCTTATTGGGCAGGCTACGGTTCTCTCTATATGAAGGGGGGCCAGCTACTGGTGAGTAGACAGACGTTGCATCGAAGCCCACGACTCCAGAGATGGGAGAGCAAGGTCCTGTTTGCCGGTACCGCGCCAGACCTTGGGCTGAGTTCTCTCTCTACCCCAAACCCCACAGTCTAAGCCCAAAACCCTAAGCCTTAGCTCTAGGCTTCTAAAATCCAAAACCTGACCTTAATCCCGTCATCTTAAGCCTGAATCTCTCAACCCTGAAACCCCCTCAAAGCCCAAAGCCCTGAACCCCAGTACAGCTTGGGGTTCAGTGTTTCAGGGGCTTCGTCTTTAGGATTGATGCTCCTGGAATTAGGCTTGGGGTTGCAGGAGTGTGGTAGAGTCTAGCGCTGGGGTTCTAAGGATTGGATTCAGGCTCTGCAGGAATGCTCTTTACGTATTCTTTTGTATGTTTGTGAATATGCAGTTATTATCGATGTATGTGCGTATTTTGTCACATATTTAGAAGTCGATGTTCATTGTGCGGGTGGCTATTATTTAGTTGTGTAGTTACTTGCTTGTTCATATGTATGCCTAAAGCCAGTATAAGAAAACACCACAGATAGACCTTCAACCCTAAACCCTTGACCCTATAAACACTAAACCCTAAATCCCAAGCCCTAAACCCTAAACCCTAATAAGGCCCCTTATGGAACCCTGAAACCCTCAAAGGAACCCCTAGGGAACCCCTGCGGAACCTAGACCTTCTAAGGAAACCCTTCGGCGAAGCGGCGCGACCGCTTGTTTCTCAAAGTCGCTCGTGAGGAGATCCTCGGCTCAAGCAAACTTTGAGCAAACCTGAGTGATGTGGGTTTTTGGTTTAAGGTCGAGGGTTCTGGGCTTAGGGTTTGGGGTTTTAGGGTTTGGGGTGTAGGGTTTAGGATTTAAGGTGTGCAACAGTATGCACGCGGTGGGTGCGCTTCTTTAAAAACGGGGGCGCGCCACTTATCACGCGCTTGCGTCAGCATGTAGTCCCGCCCCAACCACCCCAACTGTTCTGAATTAGGGTTTTAGGGTTCACCCCCCAACTCCCCTCAAGGGTTTTTTTTTGCTCTCTGCTTTTTTTCGCAGTTCGACACAGAAACAAGCAAATTTCACAGCAAACCACAGCTGAGATGGATTGGTGTGGGGAGGACCGTGCCGGCCGCTCGACGAAAAGCAAGGGTTTCCAACAAACAATCTGCCCCTCGCGCCCTGTAAGTGCTGCTCGAAGTGGTGATCGTGTTTTTGCAATTTGGTTGTCTGCGGCCAGACACACTGGGGAGGCATGCAGTATCGATACGGCATGTAATTTCTGGTCCTGAAAATAGGACCTCCGAAACTCAGCAGGACATGACGACAAAACTACTTCCCACGCGGCCTGTGCAAGGCACTAGGGCGCCATGAGCCGGACGGAAGACCATAGGGAAAAAACTGAAGCCAAAACACTCCGTTGCATGAGGCTTCGCTCGGGGTCTGTGCAGCAACAACTCATGAGTCATGAGCTTCGGATTCTGCGAATTCCTTTGGGAAAAGCTCACAAGGAGCCCACAGAATGCAGTCCACCCGAACCCGGAGCCCACCCATGCCCAGACGGAGCCCGGAACCCACTCACGGAACGGAGCCCGCCCCGGACCAGAGCCCGAGCCCATCCACTCAATTCCTTCAAAAACGGGAGAGCCCACGCAGACCCAGCCGGAAGACGTAGCTCAATTTTTTCATGAAAAATGCACGGAGCCCACGCGGAGCCCAGCCGCCCACCCAGGAGCCCACTCATAGAGAGCCCATACACAGTTGTTTTGGGAGAACCCACGCGGAGCCCGCCCGGGCCCGGAGCCCACCGAGCCCATAGGAAGCCCGCGCACACAATTCTTTCAGGAAAACGCCAGGACAGCACAGGAGCCCCGACACAGCCACATGCACAGATTTCCTCGCAAAAACGCAAATCCCAGCCACAGCCGTCCGGAGCCCACTGAATTTATTGGAAAAACCGTAGGGGCCCACAAACCCCCCCGAGGGGTGGGGCAGGGGTGATGTGCTCGATGGTTTGGCATTTCTGTTGTCCTGAGAATTATTAAAGCCGGTTTCGCTCTGAGGGGGAACTGCTACGAGGATTCCGTGCGCGTGGTTCTCGTGAGAAACACACACGACTGGCGTGACCCACGCTGTAGGAATACATTCCTGTCGCACTGTCGCCTAAGCGATGAGTGTCCGTTTTCGCCTGCAAGATTGCACGGTATTGAACTGGAAATCGTTCAGATTGTCCAGAATCCCTGCGACAGGAAGAATAGAAGCGAAAATAGCACTTGTTTGTGGTTGCTGAGTGCTTCTCAGGATCAGTGCGTCGTGCTGCCAGTAGGCGAAGCCACGAATGTTCAATGTGCTTGCATTCTGCACCGTCAGCACGAACGGACACTTGAAGAGGCTTTTGACGAACGACGTTTTGGCAGCTCGGCCGGGACCTTGCAAAGCGTACATCTTGTAGCGCCTTGGCTTGCGGAAGAAGTCAGGCATAAAAGCAGTCAGTGATGGAGCAGCCTGGCTCTTTATCGCATCCGCCAACGCAATGCCCCTTGAGTCCACTGCCCGCGCCGCACACAGAGACTGCATTCGTGCACTTACTCATTTGGCAGACAACCTGGCGTCTCCTGACCGTTTGCACAGGTGCGAGGTTCAATTCTTGCTTTTCGCCTGTTTTCGCCCTGAAATCAAAGCTGTGTTTGTTGGCATCGATTGTGTTTCGGAAGCTCTTACCGAACCACCTCACCTACGTCCCACCTGCTTAGCTCTTGCACGAACGTTCAAGGCTGCTTCCTTGCTTACGGAGCCCACGGCCTCTGCATATGAACGCGCCAAGGCGTCTCGAGAGCATGTCAGACCTCGGTCCTGCAGGCATGCCTTTAGCGGCCGGCATTCGCTTCATCATTGCCCTGATTGCCGCCCTGGTTGGCATCATTCATCCCATTGGCCCCGTTGTCTGTCTCAGTGCGAGCACGATGCAGCAAACTTTGCAGGTCATGCCTGCTGGGCCCTTTTGCCGCCTGACAGAGAACAAAAAGGCATAGAGTCAACATGATCTTTTCGTGACCCACACAAGCAGCATCTGGCCTTCAACAAGCGATCCTTCTTCCTCTTTAAGTTCTTCTGAGCCTGTGCTGTTTCCTTCTGCTGTTGTTTCAGCACTTTGCATCGCATGATCAGCGCGGTGAGCTGTCCATGGAGGATGGCCTCCGAAGCTGGCCCAAATTTGGCATCGATTCTGCTTGGGCAAGGCAGGGCAGGGCAGCGAAGGGCAGGGGCACGGCAGGGCCGGGCAGGCCAGCCTAGGCCCAGTTTAGCTTTTTTAAGGGCCTCTTCTGTCGCGCGAGGTTTAGAAATTAGGGTTTAGCATTGAGGATTCTGGTTTAGGCTTTTAGGGTTTGGGGTTCAGGGGTTAAGGTTTAGCGGTTGAGGGTTCTGGGTTTAGGGGTGGGGTTTACGGTTTAGGGTCTGGGGTTGAGGGTTTAAGGTTTAAGGTGAATCGTTGAAAGAGCCGGGTTGCCTGTTCATTGGTTCGTTGAGGCTTGTTTATGAGAAAGAAGGGCTTTAGAAGGATTATCGGGAATTCTATAACGAGTCGTCACACCATCCTACTAGTCAGGGTAGATCTTTGCGGCATGTTGCTGAAACTCCTATACTGCTGAGTGCAGAGAGCAGAACCAGAAGACGACCATCGTGGTTAATGCTGCGACAATGGTGCTGCTCATCATCGCCTCCAGCAGCGTAACAGCAGTACTAGATCAGCATCGCCAGCATCAGCTTCTTCATTTACCAAAGCCGGATCTAGATAGAGTGTGAAAGCTTCATATCAACACTCCTGTCATGCATGTTACGATTACTGCTACTATACTATTATTGTTTCAATTACTATTTCTATTACTCGATCCCGACGCCCAGCAGTAGGATGCTGATACAGTGCGGCCGCCTGCATTGGCCCCCACGCACCCTACCGAAGCCCGAAGCCGAAAAAGCTCAAACTGAAGTGTAAGGCAGTATTCTAGAACGGAGATTTCCAGGCAAGAGTAGTATTGTAGAGTGTAGATTTCTGGGGAATGGAAGTATTGAAGAATGGACAGTTCTAGGGCTTCTAGGGACTGAACCTATCGCAGACTTGGGACGACCGTGTGGCAACATGTACTACCACGTGTTGCCACTTGCAGGGACAACCACCAACCGCCAGGCTCCTAAACACGGCATACCGCTACTCTAGCCTGAACTCTGAAACCCTGTAACTCTGTAAACACCCTGAATCCAAAAGCCCATGCATAGAAGATAGAAGAAGAACCAAAGAGAAGTCCGGACATGGAAACCAAACCACAAGAGACCAACAAAGAAAGGGCTTGAATCGCGTTGACCGAACAACGCTTGCATCCCAAAGCATGCCACCAAAAGCTCTACACCCAGGACATCTACCCGAACCTCACATTCCAAACCTAACACAACCTTACACAAAACGGACCCTCGTCCAATCATACATGGCTCTCTCACTGCGATGTGCGCATCGACACCTGTCGCAGTGGAAGAAACGTGTTTCGGATGCTGCAGGGTGCCTTTTAGGGTTATGGTTTAGGGCTTATCCACAACAGTGTCCTTAGGAGTATAGCACCTAGGGTTTACGGTTGCTGGGACCCTGAACCCTAAAACCGTAGCTGCGGGTCGGAAGGCGAGAACCGGCTTCTTGAAGGGAAGCCTGGGTTGGGGGTTTCAAATCATTTCAATTCGAAAGTGTTCGGGGGTGCCGTTGAACCCAAGACCTTACAAGTCTTAACCAAATTGGGCGGTCAGACTCTTCAGGGTTTAGGGCCTGGGAAGTAGGCGGTGGCAATATGCGCTGGCACTTGAACTTGTTCGGACAATATTGCTGCGCCATAACCCCTTCCTTTGACGACGAGGATTGAGGGTGTGAGTTTCATGGTTAGTCTTCCCGGCTTGGCTTTTGCAATTTTAATATCAGCGACGCACTGCTCTTGGTACGGCCCTAAATGTCCGTAGCCTTGGATGAAGATGGGCAGCGGCAGAATCTGGTGATTCTCCTCATGCGTGGATTCACTTTCAAGATGTCGGGAAACCCATCGAAACTTAGTACGTGTGACAGTTTATTTAGGGCGCCGTGAAACTTGCGCAGGTTTTCTGGCGTTTGCAGGACACTTCGGATGATTCCGTGGGCTTGGGTTGGGGTTGGGTGGGGTGTGTGGTGCGGGGTTTGGGGCGTAGGGTGTGGGGTGGGGTGGGGTGATATGATGCTCGCACGCATTTCTGCCTCTTTGCACAGCATGCTGGTAGTGCGCAACAAGATGGTGATGGCGATGATGAAGAAAAAGATGATGATGATCACTAGAAAATGGCAATAGCTGCGTGGGTTTCCTACATTGTTATTATAACTGTCAATATTGCAAATAAACAGTGCGCTATGCGCCCGCACCCGCTTGGAGACCCTCGTAGAACCCTTTTAAACCTCTACAAGGCTCGAAAGCCGGATAGAGCCACACTGGAGTTCAGACTGCTGATTCTGCCTTCCTGAGCCGTACACCCTGGAATGCCCGGGGTCTCTGCAACATGAACTACAATATCCTCAACAAACCCTACCTACCGCACTCCACTTTTGAGGTGCCGTCAGGCACAACAGCAGATGCAGAGGGAACGGTAGGGAGAAACGCAGACACAGAGAGCGGGAGAGGGAGAGAGAGCGAGAGAGGGAGAGAGAGAGAGAGAGAGCGAGAATCCCCGAGACCGAAACCCTAAAACTTAATCATGATGAGGCGACCAACAAGTAGAGATGCGCACGAAACCAGAAAGGTCATGAAAGGATGTAGCAAGGCCTATTCTAAACTCCTCAACCTCAATTCCTGAGCACCCTGAAGCATCCGAAAGCCCTAAAGAAATCTCACCCCTGTATAGACCCTTCAACCCCTCAAGCTGCAAAGCCTGTTAAGCTCTAAGTCCGAAGCTCCCCATGTCAGCGAAGCCCTCATATCTATACGTTAGAAGCTGCCCCCACCCTGTAATAAACTGTAATAGTGACCATAAGGATTATATTGGGGCCCTACTATATACCTACTATGCCACTGTTACAGGGTGGGGGCCCCTTCTAACCTATACCCTGAACCCTTCTTTGGTTCTACGCCCGGGGCATAAAACACCCATCTCCTTCGGGCTAAGGGCTTTAGGATACTAGGGTTGATGAGGGTTTAAGGGTTCAAGGTGCTGGATATACAGGTTTTGGAGGGTTGTGCTTGCCACATTTGGCATTTCGAGTCTTTATAACATCTCAGAGGGCTCGGGGCCGGGGTTTACATGAAGTACTGTTCATGAAGTAGTGTTTGGGTAAGCTCGTACGAGCAGGGAAGGTATGAACAATGAACACCCTACAGAACCTGGGTATAAAGCCCTTGAAGAGCTTTTCGGGACTCTTTGTTTCCCGAATCCAAGATCCTCGAAGTAGTTGACAAGCTGGAAAATATAGGAGAGCTCCGACCTTCGCGCCGCCCAACAAGAGAGGGAGCGAGAGTGAGAGTGAGAGCGACAGACAGACAGAGAGAGAGAGAGAGGAAAAAAACAAGAGTTTCCCTCAGGGTGGCGGAGACACTCCGAACCCCTAAATGTCTGAAGGCCCGCAGGCCCAAATCCCGAAATCCGGACCCTGCGTGCCATGGCCCTGAATATGAACCGCATTCCAAAACCCAGAACCCTAAAAATAGTGGTTCTAAACCACTAAACTTTCACTAAACTCTTCGATCGAAACGATGAGCCAACAAAGCCCTACTTTCAAGACCCTAAACCCCAAAACCTACCGAAACTCCAAGATCTACGGCATAAACCTTGAACCCCAAAACCCCAGAACCCTACTAAACCCTTATGGAACCCGCCCGTATATACAAAAAAACCTCAACCATTACACGAGAAATACAAAAGCCCTTGCACAATCCCTATAAAGCTCTTATCCAGCCCTTCTAAGACCCGAAAGATCCAGCTTGTAGAACCCGTATCGAACCCTTATGTAACATACTTCGTAGTAGAACCCCTACAAAATGTCAGGGCATCTGGAAAACCAACGTGTAGGGCTGGGCTCCCTACACCACATGCTTCCGGTAGAGCAAGATCCTGGGATACCAGGGGGGTGTTCAGTTGTGAGCTTCAGATGTAAAGCTTCAAGAGTTCAGAGTTTACGGCTTAGGGTTTAGTTTAGGGTGTAGGGTTTCGGGCTTAGACTAGGGGTTTAGGATGTAAGGTTCGAGGTTCAGGGTGGGCTCCATCATGAGAGTTTGCAATCGGCGTGTGGGGGTTTAGGGCTTCACATCTAAAGTGAACATGCGGGGGGCGTTTTGGCGTACTATCGGGGCCTAAATAATGAGAATAGGGTTTTGGGGCCCATTATACTATAATTAGACTAAGGAACCCCAAAGTAGTATTGGTAATTACTTAGGCCCCTGTATTAGGATGTGGGAGTTTCCGAAGATTGGGGGGCCTAACATAGTACCCTAAACAGTAGGGTCCTTACTATAAGGACCCCAAAATAACGTACCCCCTCTTTTCGGCACCTCCCATGTGCGTTTGGGATGTCGGGCTTGGGGGGGCCTGGGCTTCAGGCTGCAATGAGCTTGGGGCTAAGGTTCGGGTTTCAGGTTTAGGGTTTTAGGGTTTAGGGTTTAGGGTTCGGGTTTCAGGATTCAGGATACGAGTTCAAGGCATACGGTTCAAGATTTTGGGCTTGAGGTCAATGAAGTTTCAGAGCTTGGGGTTTAGGATAGCGGTTGATTGCGGAAGCCCTATCCTTACCTTTGGTTAGTAGGACCACGGTCTGGGACTTTGGGCTTAGGTGCTCAAAGCTTCAGGGTTTAGGGTTTAAGCTTTAGGGTTTGGGTTTAGGGCTCATTCCAAGTGAGCCCGACCAGACTCTGACCCTCCAGCCAAAACGCGCAACGATCCTAAACCCTAAATATGTAAAATCAACATCCCTGCAACCCCTGAACCTAAGCCCAAAGTCCTGCACCCCAAACCGTCGGCCACTATATGCCAGAAGCTTGAGCCCGTCCGTGTCTTGACCCTTACCCAACGTATGAGCGTCTGACTATGGCGAGTGAAGACTTTTGGAGTTCTAGTGCTACTTCCTCCGCCACGACAAAGAGTAAATCCTACTATTTGCTTAAGTACCCCAAAAAAATAAAAAATATATTCCTTATGGGTGTAATATAGGGATTATTATTCTTATTTTTTGGGGGCTTCTTAAGCAAATAGTAGAATCCCAGAAGTGGAGACTTCCAGTCGAGTTGCGCAACTACGGGCCACCGCTCTTCGATGGCCCGGGGCTTGTAGCTGCGGTACCACTCCTGGGCGTGTGGGTTTAGGGCTTCGGGCGACAGTGCTCTAGGCCCTAAACCCTGACACCCCCCTACTGTAACCACGTAAGGGCTAAGGGTTCAAGGGTTTAGGCTTGCAGTTTAGGGTGTAGGGCTTAGAGTTCATCGCGCTTACGGAACCCTCAACCCCCCACCCTAACCCGAAAATCGTAAAGCACGAAGGGGAGAGCCGGCGAGCGTCCATGTACTCCCGTGGGGTCTGAAAGAACGGCCCAGGCTGGAAGGCGAATTTCAGAGCGGGGTGCAGCAGGCCCACCTGTCTAGGATTTCCAGGCTTGTGCCTGTGTGTCTATGCATGTGCACTCACACCTATGTATATTGATATACACTCATGTGTGTATACATATACAAATGCGTGTAGACATATGTATATGTATATATATATATATATGTGTAACATATGTATGTATATGCTCGCTGTCATGCAGAGGGTACGTGTGCGCAAGTACATTTGCAAATATGTATCTGGATGTACGTATGTATGTATGTACGCATGTATGTACTATGTTTGTGTGCATGCATGTATGTACCGATGTATGTATGTATGTATGTATGTATGTTTGCATGATTGTGTATGTACATAGATACGTACGTACGTAGATAGGCAGGCAGGCGGGGTGGCAGGTCGGAACAACTTTGTAGGATTCGGGGCTTAGGCTGTAGTCTCTGGGTTTTGTCACAGAGGGGCTTCCTGTATCTACCACAACCTCGCGACCAGTAGGCTACCTGTAAACTCTACATTTGGGTGCGTTTGATCTGTAAGTAAATAAATGAATACATATATGTATATATACACACATCTATTAGTTTACTTATTTGTGTATATGCACATTGAATCATGTTCACACCTATGCATATTTATACTGATTGTTTGACTTATTCGCTCGATTATGTACCCATTTATGCTTGCTTTTATCAGGAGTAGGTTCGTCTAGATTTCGGATTGTCTGGCTTTCAGACCATAGCCGAACACAAAACCTGAACTCACAACTATTCTGGTTTAACCCTGGCCTGCAACCTAAAGGCTATGATATGCACAGCAATCTCTACACTACAAGCCCTGAAAAAGATTGCATATTACCTGCTAAAAGCTGTGTCAACCCTGCAAAGCCTTTATCAACCCCATAAACCCTAAACCTTGAACCCTGAACCCCTAAACCCCTGAACCCTAAACCCTAACCCGCTAAACCCCTAACCCGAAACCCCTGAACCCGTCCTGCCTGGGGAATCTCTACGACCTCCAGAGCTTTGGGCGGGACGTCCGCTGTGGTCTCCTCCATCTCCTGCTGGTGACGATCGTCTTGCAGTGCTGCTTGTTTGAAGCATCTTTTTCCACTGGCTACTGGATCGCTTGCAATGCAGTTTAGGGTTTAGGGGTTTAGGGGTTAGAGGGTTTAGAGCTTAAGGTTGCGAGATGCACCAGAAGCAGATCCAACAAACCTTGACCCTGAAACGGCGAAGCTTCGTCTTGGGTTGTTCCTATGTGAGTTTTGAGTCTATATTCCGGAAGCACAAGACAAGATCACAAGACTGTGAATTCGGAAATCTCTGCTAATTCACATTATTCACCATGCTGTTCTTAAGAAAGGGCAGTTTAGGCTGTGAAAGTGCAGGTTGCGGGGCTCGGGGCTAGGGTTTAGGGTTTAGGGTTTAGGGTTTAGGGTTTTTTGCGTCGCATCTGCAAACCCGCTTGAGCGTGGCCCATCATCTCGACCATGAGAAGACCGAGAAAGCCCGCCTCTTCCCGGACAGCTTTGCCAAAGCCAGGTACTGTAGGGGCCTTAATCGTTGAAATGGGGTTTGGGTGTATGTTAAACTGTAGCTATAATAAGGAACCCCATTATAGCATAGGTAGGTAATTATTAAGGCCCCTATATTATCTTGCGTAAGGTTAGGGTGCAAGCCAAAGAACCTTTCACGTGACCAAAGCACTGGCGTTCCAGGTTTGCGACGTATTCTGAAATCCAGCCCTGTTCGCTCATCTTCGTCCGGTACCAGAATGTGGTACATCACCCGCACGGCTGCACGCGGACAAGCTGCTGCGAAGACTCCCCATCGCATGTCCGGATGATAGCCTGTCTGCCCGTTGTGTCCCTTATCACAGCCACTTCCACGTCGAAGTCGACCGACATCACAGGATCAAGCGATCTGGCACTTTCAAGATTTCCCAGGCCCTCCACCCGCCACTGTGAAGCCAGAATGCACACTACACTCGAAGCAGCAAGCAGCACAACCCTGTATGGCCTGAACCAACCAAAGCTTCCAGGGTGCAGGGGTCTCAGCGAAGCTATGATAAACCGATGGAATGACTCGCATATAGGAGTTTGGGTAATTTATCAGTGATGTTCCCTTATAGTCCGCAAGTGCGCATACATTAATCTCACCCAAGATCCTACTCTAAGTCTCAAGCCCGTCTACGCTTTAGGACCCCTAATATAGTTATGGACACCCTTACATAAAACCGTTTAAAGAGCCCTTAATTATAGTTAAGACACCCTTTGATAGAACCTTTTAGAGAACCATACAACCCCTCGTATAGATCCCGACACCTGGAACCCTGGACCCTCAATCCTTGAACCCTTATGTAACCCTAAACCCTTGAACCCTAGACCCGTGAACCCTAGACCCTAAACCCCTAAACCTTTAACCCCAAACACTTGAACCCCAAAAGGAAGGAAAGGCTGTTTCGCCAGTCGCCCGTATCCGGTATCTCTAGCCTGAACCCTAAACCCCTAAACCCCCAAACCCCCAAACCCTTAACCCTTGAACCATAAACCCCTAAACCCCAAACCCTAGACCCCTAAACCCCTAAACCCCTAAAACCCTAAATCACTAAACCCCTAAACCCTTAACCTCAAACCCTGGAACCCTAAACGGAACCCCGCTTCTTGAGGCTCCCTCCTCCCGCACCCGCCCCAGGTCCTCGGCCTGGAGATCTTCGAAGCCGCCGAATTCACTTGCAATGTATCCTGAGGTAGGGCTCTGGGTTCGTTTTTGAGTGTGATCTATATAGTCGAATACGCAAGACTATGATAGAATAGGATAGAATAGCATACACTATGTGGGGGTCTATGGCACAGAACTAATAGGTAGCTTTGAGCGTTGGGCTTGGGGAGTTGGGGTTAAGGGACGGTTTAGTGTCTTGCTAAGGAAGACTTCGTCTAAGGAGTGTGGTGCTTAGCATGTCAGGGAGTGAGGCGGTCGGTAAACATGACAAAGCCCTACCACCTGGTCCCATGCACAGGACAGCTCGCGTGAGGGCCGACCTAATAGATACAATGCGAGCACATTCCAAACATAGGGGCCTTGATCAACAGAATGGGGTTTTGGGACACTTCAGAATAATGTTGGCGCTTGTTGAAGCCTGCATATACGTGCAGAATGCTGGCCTTGCAATCGCTTGCATGTCGGCCTCGAACTAAAATCTGCTGGCTGCTAGGTGCTGCCTGGCAGTCTCAACCTTGCCTGGAACTTCATAAACCCTAAACTCAAACCCCCAACCCTGACAATGAATCTGAGGGCAGAAGACAGCATGCTGAGAAGTATCAAAACCACTCCTCACAACGAATGCACCAACTACCCACCAAGGGCCATGTCACCATCATTAGCATCCCAGGTTTTGAATCATAATCACGAAATCCCAAGACAAAAACAAACCCCCAGACACCAGCAGCCCTGTAGTTGTTTGGACCGGTCTGAGTTTCTGACTAGAGCCACCAACTACAGCCTAAACCCCTGCTTCCAAAATCAACCTCCACTGGCCCAACACCCTCAAACCCCACAACCCAAAGAGCCCCCCCAAGACCCCAAACCGCCGAAAACCCAACAAGCCCTCAAACCCCTCCCCCCCCCCGAAACGCTGCAAAACCACCCAAAACCAACACAATTCTCAAGGTTCCAGTAGAGTCCCCTCTCCAAACCCCGAACTTCTCCAGGTCAGCATGTGGGAGTTTCCGGAAATTGGGGGTACCTTATTCTGGGGTCCCTAAAGAAAGGATCCTACTATTTTGGGTACGATATCAGGGTCCCCTATTTTTGGAAACTCCCAAATGCCAAAGCCTGAACCCTGTTACTCCCTGTCTGTCTGGTTCTTAGTAGGGAATGGGGAGAATGGATCCCTATGATAGTCCCTTTAGGTCCCCTATTTTTGGAAACTCCCACATCCTAATACAGGGGCCTAAGTAGCTACCAATACTACTTTGGGGTTCCTTATTCTAATTATGGTATAATCTCATTATTATTTAGGCCCCGATATTACGCCAAAACGCCCCGCATGTTCTCTTTAGATCTGAAGCCTTAAACCCCCACACGCCGATTGCAAACTCTCATGATGGAAGCCACCCCGAACCTCGAACCTTACATCCTCAACCCCTAGCCTAAGCCCTAAACCCTACATCCTAAACTACACCCTAAGCCGTAAACTCTGAACTCTTGAAGCTTTACATCTGAAGCTCCCACCTCAACACCCCCCTGGTATCCCAGGATCTGGGACCCAAAAAAGGACCCCTAATTTTGACAACCACCCTTGTAGATCGCCCGAGTCCTATACTATTCTGGGGGTTCCTTATTATAGTTATACTATAATGGGCCCTAGATCCCTTAAAGGGTTCCAAAAGGGATTTGTCGCCCGAGTTTCGGAGCATGGAAGCGACGTTGCCGCCTCCGCCACCACTCCTGGAAGCACGGAAATCGGAGCCCAAAGGGTCCTACGGTTGATGATTTGGGAGTTTCAAACTAGGGGTACCTTACTTTGGGGTCCTTACAACAAGGATCCTACTATGTAGGGAATGAAATTAGGGTCCCCTATTTTCGGAAACTCCTATTTGTTATCCTTTAAAGGGATCTATAAGGGTTCCTTTAAGGGGTTCCTTTAAGGGATCTATAGGGTTTTAGGGTTTAGGGTCTAGGTTGACGATTTAAATCCTGCATTACCTTAAGGACCCTAAACTATGGGAGTTGTGGTATAATGCTTATAATGGGCAATGCAGGATTTATATCATCAACAGTAGTATGTGCACCGCTTATTTAGCAAATTCCATGGGGTTTCACGCAGGGTTCGTGGGGTTTGTATGCGGCGTTGCAGGGTTTTCAGGATTTGAAGGCCTTGCTTAGGGTTCAATCGTGGCACCAACTACAAGTATCCACCATTGTAGGGGGATACACCCAATGGTGAGGGGTCATAATGTATCAAGTTACTGGTTCGAAGGTTCGGGACCACAAGTACAGTCATGTTCGAGGCTTTGGGTCTTCCCTCTCGGGGCGCACTGTACAGGGTTGGAGATCTACAATAAGGTGCCGCCCGGCTGCCACAGCGCGTAGCTTTGAAGCCACCGCCGCAGGTCCGGGATTGGGCCGAACCTTGAGGCAGCTTTTGTCAGTGTTCTGAGAAAGATTCTTATACTTTGGACAGGCTTCGGGTCGTCGGAGTAGTCACCGTCGTCGTCGAAGGAAAAGAAGGGGGAGGAGGAGGAGGGGGGGCAGCAGCAGCAGTAGCAGAGCAGCCGACAGCACTAGCAATATTAAGCACACCAGTCGAAATCTAGTCGAGTCGTTGTCACGATCGTCTTCGCCATCGTCATCGCTGTCATCGCCAATGGGGCACGAAAGCTTTGCAGACCCTATCCGTGAAAGCAAAAACCGCTAAACCAAAAAGCCTGAGCTCTTGCCTTTCGGGTTGTAGGAGTCAGGCAGCTACTTGGAGGTTCATGGGTAGTTATCAGTAGGACAACTATACTTATAACCCATATTAGGGGGCTTGTAACCCTACTGACAACTACCCATGAACCTCCAGTTAGGTGTGCGGAGATACAGGTGTCGGGTATAGAGTTTAATCAGGGCTAAGCGCAGGCTTCGCGGTTCGTCGTTTAGGGAAAAGCATTGACGAACCGCCCGACGTCGACGCCTCAATACATGCCATACCGAAGAAGGATCCAAAGTGCAGCTTCAGCGTCAAGCCTTTCTGTTGCTTTCGCTGCTGAAACTTGCACCTACCCTATCCGGAACCGGAACCGGTTTGCGTACTGCACGGGATCCGGGCACGAAGTCTCGACGCGATTCCATGCAGCACAACGTCTGAAACACGAAGACCTAAACCCTATAAGCCCTAAACCTCAATCCGTAAACTCCACAGAAAGCGCCCTACGTCGACAGTCCGACCGACAGCCGATAGTCCGAAGACCCTATGCAACGCTCCCAATTTAAAAAAAAAACAAAAGCTTTAATAACTTTGGGTGGGTATATCATACCGTAAGTCTAGGAGGGAACCCCAACATGGTCTTGGTAATTACGTAGGCCCATATACTTCCAGGCTGGCGTTGAGGGCTCAGGGTTTACTAAGCCAAGGCACAAGACATTGCCCAAACACAAACTACTATTTGCTTAAGAACCCCAAAAAATAAAAAATATATTCCTTATGGGGGTAATATAGGGGTTATTTTTTTGGGGGGGGTTCTTAAGCACATAGTAGCAAACTTTGTTTCGTACACCCCAGGCAAACCCAGAGACGGCAAGATCCTGAAGATAACTGAAATTGTAGTCGGCTCCCTGATATGACTTAAGGTATAGTCTAGTTCATTGTTGGGATAGGATTAAAAATGTACATTTCATTCCTTATTGGGCTCAAGTACCCATAAGAATGTAAAATGTTACCCAACTATGACAAAGTAGTCCTAAATTAAGGGATGTAGGAGTCTATGGGAACTTGCAAGGCTAGGTCTGCGGCTGTGGAAGGAACTGGAGCAGCTTTGGACCTCTCTTTCCGCGAAGGCTTGTTCCTACGGTTGATGATATAAATCCTGCATTACCTTGAGGACCCTGAACTATGGGAATTCTCGTATATTCTTTATATATGGGTAATGCAGGGTTTGTATCATCAACCGTAGTTCTGCAAAGAAGCGCTCAGCCCGGAAACTACATGAAAAGCTGCCTTGTTCTTTGTGTGGAATGGGGGAATGGGTTGTTGGGACTAGCATAGAGGACCTTCAGGGGCTACCATGGGGATCCATTCCCCCCCTTCCCTGCTAAGAACCAGACACAAAGGGAGCAACAGGGTTCAGGCTTTGGCATTTTGCTTGGAGGTTCATGGGTAGTTACAAGTAGGGTCATAAGTAGGGTAACTATACTTATAACCCATATTCGAGGACTTATAACCCTACTTCTAACTACCCATGCACCTCCAACTGGGCTTTGCGTTCCATCGACGAGCCTCAACTCCTGAACCCTCGCTGCGATGAAACTGTGTACCCTCGACGCCAAAGTCCCAAACCCGGAACTCCTGAACCTCAGATTTCTTAGGGATTATAACAACCAAAAATTAAAAACTATTTCTAAGTACCCCTAAGAATACAGGTTTAGGCCGCAAGAGTGTAGACCTTGAAACCGACAGTCCGAAATGTGAACTTTGGATTTCGGGCTCCGGGCGTGGGTTCAACAAATCGAGGTCTATTTGGGTTTCAACGGTTTAAGATACCCTAAACCCTAAACCCTAAACCCTAAACCCTAAACCCTAAACCTCTAAACCCTAAACCCTAAACCTCTAAATAGAACGGTTCGGATGAAGCCCTCTGGTTTGATGCCTCGGCAAATCCTCCAATGCAACAATTTCGCGAACTCCCCCCACGACCTTTCCCCCCCCCCCCCCCCACCCCAGCACATGAATCTACCCGGTCGAGTTGCCAGTCTTAAGGAACTTCGTGTATCCAGCGATTCGGTCTTCCTGCGACTCCCGAGCAGCTGAGCGCTGCAAAGTTTGGGCTTTGGGGTTACGGTTTTTGAGGTGTTGGGGTTGGTGTAGAAAGAAGGAAGTGAATCGGAGTCTAACAGAAGTTATAGAAGTTTTGGAAAGGGCCCGGAAAGTGTTAAAGCGAGTCAAAAAAGCTAGAGCGATGTTAGAAGGGCATGAGTTCTAGAAGGATGAAAGAGTTCCGGAAGGCTTTTCCGAGAGCTTCAACAACAAAAGGGCTTCTGGGTGTTCTGTAGGGTCCTTTAGGGTCTGGAGTTTGGGGTTTATGGGCCTGTCGTACAACAAAAAACACATGCCAATCATTTCAAATCCTGTCCCCAACCGTCATGCAAGAAGCGAAAAACAACAAAGCACATCCACACACACACACACACACACAAACACACATACACACACACACACACTCAAAAGCAAAAAACAACCCCAACCTTGCAATTAACCTTGAGTCCCCGTTCTCGCCTTGACTACTTACCCCGCCTCCGATCTGAAAAGGGTTTATCTCGGAGGCAACTACACAATTCCCTCGTCTAAGTCTAGCCATTGAAGCAGCTCTGTTTTTCCCGAGGTGCTACCGACGGAGGGGTTTCTGAACTCCAGGACAAGGGTAGGGGACTCTCAACCCCAATCAGACGTGAAGATGCATGCGTTGAGATGTTGGGGCTGGTATCCCCGCTACTAGAGCCCCTGTAAGTCAACCAGAATTCCGTCGCAATCTCATTGCACCAACTCAAAACCCAAAGCTCGAGACTTTCTCATTGCTGCTGTTTCTTCGCAACCATGATCACAAATGCTACAAGTGCCAGCATCAAACCATCTCCATGAGCATCCCATATCGTTACCATGGATACCGAAAACGCTGCATAAACCCTAAACCCCTAAACGCTAAGATGCTTTTGGATTTCAAACTGCTGCTGGGGGGAAAGGGGGTGGTTGGAGGCGCCTCCCGCTGACCTGTCAGCATGGAGATCATGGAGCGGACTGCTGGAGGCATTCCTTACGGTGAGGGTCTAATGTTTAAGGTGCGCTAAGGTGCGTTTGGGGTTTGGGATTAGGGTTTGGGATCAAATGGGCTAGAGGACTATGTTTTGGCATCATACCAACAGTAAGGGCCTACGAATAGTCGGTGCAGCTACAAGTCGATCCTCAGGGTGTGGATCTCGATAAGGTCCTTAGACCGCCTTTTATGGTATAGGGTCATGATTAGTTATAATCATAATAATGATAATAATGTCAATAATAATAATAATAATACTAATAATAATAATAATAACAATTAATAATAATAATAACAATAATAACAATAATAATAATAACAATAATAATAATACTAATAATAATCATAATAAAAATAATAATAGTAATAATAATAATAATAGTAACAACAACAATAATAATAATAACAATGTAGGGTGTTGTACTGGGTCTGGAAAGCCTCGTTTTTCGTTTGCAATTCAGCTCTGATAAGCGTACTTAAGTTTAAGCTTGCGCTAACGATGCGTATGCCTTGGCTTGAAGGCCTACTCTCAAGCTGACCGAAGTGTACCGCTTGCAGTCTAGGCGAAACTATTGACTCTTCTCAGTAGCACTGCAAGGGCAGCAATATGGGGGGGCCCTAATCATTAGAACAGAGTTTTGGTGTATATTATACTATTAAATGTGATAAGGAACCACCGAAACAATATTGGTAATCATTTCATTTCATTTGGGCCCCCATATTAGCCCTTCACTCCGCTGCGGGGAGAGGTGATAGCGCAGATCTTCTCAACACCGGCTTCCGTTGAGGTGCTTGGAATCATGTAACACCCTGACTGAGAATCCTGCTCCCTTGGCAGCTTCATGCAGGGGCCTAGCATAAAAACTGTGGCCCGTATTCAAAAAGACTGAGAATCAGTCAGTGTTCTACAGTTATCCTACGTTCTTGTCCGTACCAGAGACATAATCCGAGTTTACTGCAACATAGTCCCGCGAGAAGGACCGGGGTACTGCTATTTATCAGGCATGTACACAGACGGTTCTGGCATGATTTTAGCATTTCAACCCCCATCCTCAACCAGGCAGCAAAGCTGCTCCCAACCTTTGACACTTTTGCCCCCCAAGCCCTAAAGCTTCAGACCCCAAACCCTCCCCCCCGAACCCCTAACCTTGTAGTCCTCAGCCCTCCATCCTCGCTGTTAGACTGTAAACCCCTAAATCCGTAAGCCCTAGACCCGGGGTTGCGGCGGCCGGTAGCTGGTGGAGGTTTAGTATTAATTAGGGGTTTACGGTTCAGGGTTTTTGGATTGATAATCAGGATGCTCTCTCTCTCTCTCTCTCTCTCTCTCTCTCTCAGTCTCTCTCTCTCTCTCTCTCTCTCTCTCTCTCTCTCTCTCTCTCGCTTCCAGAGCATCTTCAGCACCTCTTCGACCGCATTCTTCAAGACTTGGCTTGCCGTAGCGCTGGACCAGAGCAGTTGTGCACTTCCCAAGTGAATGGTGCAACCTCGCTCTGCATCTCCTCGGCGAGGCGGCAAAGAGCGTGGAAGCGGAGAATCAGCCGTGGCCATAGCTTACCTTTCATTAGTAGGGAATGGAAGAATAGTAGTAATAGTAGTTATAATGGTAGTAATATGAGAGTGATACAATAGTAATATGGTAGTAATATGGTAGTTATATGGTAGTAATAGTAGTTCTAATTGTACCCCATTCCTCCATTCCCTACTAACCAACGGCGCGCTAAGTGCTGGAGGATGCAGGTCCAGTGGCCTTCGACTTGTTCTAGCTCCACGGCTCCTGCTGGGCCATATCGTAGCCCTTCTTCCCGCATTCCAGCGATGATGATGACGATGATCTTTTGGCAACATGATTCTGTAGTATTCTTATTATCATAATAGTGATAGTTATGACTTCCCTTTGTTTAGAACTCCTTCATTAAACTATTTGGCAGGGACTCTCCAAAGACTGCTTTCAGAAGGCCGCAACCCGAAAGCCCAGTGCCTACGCACTTAGCCCTTGAACTTAAATCCTGAACCCGAAACCCTAAAACAAATAATGGAGGGGCCTTAATAGTTCGAATAGGCCTTTGGGGTATGATATACTGTAAATATACTAAGGAACACCCAAAATTGCATAGGTAATTATTTAGGGGCTGTAACCAACAGCTTAGGGCTCGGAGGTTGAAGCCCAGACTCCACCACCACCGCCGCCGCTCATCGAAAAGGAGCCGACCTGCATGCAAGCCGGAGACTGCTTGGAGGTTCAGGGGTAATTATAAGTAGGGGTTATCCGGGGTCTCTAGGGTTCCTTCAAGGGTTCTTTAGGGTTTAGGGTTCAGGGTAGTTATAAGTAGGGTTATAAGTCCCCTGATATGGGTTATAAGTATAGTTACCCTACTGTTAACCCCACTTATAACTACCCATGAACCTCCAAGCGCGGCTTGATGATTCGAAACTCATTTAGGGCCATTTAGGATCTACAGCTCTATGAGAAGAACTGAGCTTAGTGCAGACTTACCGAAACCTTCCACAGGGGCCACAACAATTAAAATGTATATAAGGGACAGAAAGGACACTATTTACTAAAGACTTAGATCTACATAGAATTACAAAGGTTCTCTACACACATCGCTCGCAGGATTAGACAACAGCAGCGACGGCAACAAGGCCGGTCGTTCCCTCGATGCCGCGCAAGGTGTCAAGAATGGGTTCTTGGCTGGAGAGGCCTGCGGTACTTTGTATTTCCAATGACTTGTACTATAAGGGTGCCATAAGGCCACTCATTATCGGGATGCACTTAGGGGTTGATTGATTGTTTGAGACCTTGGCTCGTGCATGAAAGCCTGCATGAGTCGGAAAAGCTGCTTGATGACACGAGAAAAAAGATGCATACACTTACTTTTAGCTTACGTTGTCTTAGTAGGGAATGGAAGAATGGTAGTAATAGTAGTTATAATTGTACCCCATTCCTCCATTCCCTACTAATCACAGGTAAGTTAGGGTTTAGGGTCTAGGACTTCTCGGCCCAGGGTTTAGGGGAAGCCCAGAAACGATGCTACAAGAACCAACAGTCAAGATACCACAAGCAGCAAGCAGCAAGCAAGAACCCAGGTGCAACAAGCAACAGTCAACCAAAACCAGCAGCCACCAACCACGCAGAAGCAACGAATATTGGATGACCTACACCCTAAACCCCTGAACCCCCAACCCCTAAACCCCTAAACCCCTAAACCCTAAACCCTAAACCCTAAACCCCAAACCCCAAACCCTAAACCCTAAACCCCAAACCTGGTATTAAAAAAGAGGAGACGAACCTTGGTCTCAGACATCAACTCCAAGGCAGACTCGAAAACCATCCGCACCTCCAGGGGCTGAAATTTGGGCCTTTGTTGTAAGTTTAGGGTTTAGGGTTTAGGGTTTAGGGTTTAGGCTTTAGGGTTTAGGGTTTAGGTACTTGTCTTCAGGATGGGAAGTTGGGAGGTTGTTGTCTGTAGCACAGGAAAGTCTATCTGTGTTTTTTTTTATTATGGGACCTTGCAAGTGTTCTAGGAATGTTTATATGGATTTTATAAGTGCTTTTTGAGATTTAGACTGGCTTGATTTGCGATATCGAGCTTTAAGTTTAGGTGCTTGTGGCCTAGGGTCTGGTAGGCAAGGTCTGAAAGGTTCAGGGTGTTCAAGGAGGGTTTGGGTTAGCATATAGGATACATGGCCTAAAGTTTGCATGGGTTAAGAGTACCATGCTAAAGTCAAAGCCTAAGGTCTAAGTTTAAGAAAACCTTACACCTTACAGCCCCAAAAACCTGACCGCTGAACCCTATAAGACTAAACCCTACAGTAGAAGCCAGAAAGTTGGAACATGGCTTTAGGAGGATTAGTGCTAGGATCCCTTATACTTTACCTTAAGGGCATGAGGATAATGATGTTCCAACTCTCTGGCTTCTAATACAGATATTTGGGAGATTCCGAAAATAAGGGACCCTAATATCGCACCCTAAATAGTAGGATCCTTCTTATAAGGACCCCAAAATAAGGTACCCCTGTAAAGGCCTGACCAGAGGCCTTAGCCCTGAAACCGCCGCTCCAAAGCCCCCTGCAGCCCAAAAGCCTCAAACCCTGCATCCCTAGTGTAGGGGCCTTAATAATTAGAATAGGGATCTGGGGCCCCAATATACTATAATTATAATAAGGAACCCCCCAAATAGTGTAGATAATTTTTAAGGCCCCTAGATTAAGCCCTTCACCTCCAAAGCGACCGGAACTAAATCATAGAACCCTTCCAGAACCCTTTAAAGGAAGTACCTTCAAAGGGACCCCCGAAATCCCCTTACTTAGTAACCCTTATAAATCCCCTACAGTAGCCCTTAAAGGAAGCCTCAAAGTTCCCAAAACCCCCCCTAAAGGCCTATAAGGAGCTCGGTGAAGGCTTTAGGGGTTTAGGGTTTAGGGGTTTAGGGGTTTAGCGGCTTTAGGGTTTAGGGATTTAGGGGTTTAGGGGTTTAGGGTTTAGGGTTTAGGGGTTTAGGGTTTAGGGGTTTAGGGTTTAGGGGTTTAGCGGCTTTAGGGTTTAGGGATTTAGGGGTTTAGGGGTTTAGGGTTTAGGGGTTTAGGGTTTAGGGGTTTAGGGTTTAGGGGTTTAGGGGTTTAGGGTTTAGGGGTTTAGGGTTTAGGGTTTAGGGGTTTAGGGATTTAGGGTTTAGGGGTTTAGGTCTGGCCTCGATGCTTTGGCAAGACTCCTTCAGCCACGCAGCCTGGTCGAAGTCGAAAACCAACCTGGCTCTGCAGGGCTTTGGCGGTGTGGGGGGGTTTAGGGTTTAGGGTTTAGGGTTTTGGGTTTAGGGTTTTGGGTTTAGGGTTTTGGGTTTAGGGTTTCGGGTTTAGGGTTTAGGGGTTTAGGGTTTGGATTTGTTGTTGAACTCCTTTTTACGCCTGCTCGATCCTCCCAAGCTGACATAAGGGTTTGGATTTAGGGTTGAGGGTTCTGGGCTTTGGAGTTGTGGGGGTCGATTTAGGGTTGAGGGTTTAACTAGGGCTTTGGGGTTTAGTGTTGAGGGTTTGGGTTTTGGGTTTAGGGCTTTGCGGGCAAGAGGTCCTATAAGGGTCTATGTGGCTTTAAAGCTGTTACTAAGTCGGTCGAATTGCGAACGGAGACACAATAAGATTGAAAACGATGGTAGCGGCAGGCGCAGGGCCCAAGATGCAGGAATTGCGGCTAGGAGCTTTAACTTAGGGGTGAAAAATGTAAGGATTCTGGGGTAGATCATACGAAACCCTTCTAGGACCCTGACACACGCTCATAGATCCTCCTCATTCCTTTCATCAAAAGTTTCATCCATATAGAACCCAAAGCCCTCTGTAAAGTGAAGCTCCAGGGTTGACCTCAACCGCAGCAGCATGCCAGGAGGCTCCGTTAGGGTGTTTTGAGTACTGGCTTAGGGGTTAGGTTTTCGCTACAAATTGCAGAGCTACTGTCTTCAGCAGCCACTTTCGGCAGAGGCTACAGGGGTAGGATTGGCACAGCATTCGAAGTTAGATTCCGGGCCTCAAACCCTGAACCTGCGATCAGCCTTTTTCTTAGCCTTGCGGTAAACTCAAAAGCCATCCGAAAAACCGAAACCCTGGCAGCCGCGGCCCTACGAACAATAAAACCCGAAGACCAAATGCGAATTAAGTTTCGGGCCTGGAGCCCTGTTGTAGGAGTTTCCGAAAATTAGGGTACTATATTGGGGTCACATAGAAGCAGCACGGATCCAATTCTGAAGGTTTAGAGTTTAAGGTTTAGAGTTTAGGGCACTTGAGGATGTTAGCCAAGGCACGAGCAAAACAGCACATCTGTCCTTGGCCGCTCAGGAGTTTAGGGGCGGAGAGTTGACGTTGAATATTGAAGGAGAGGTCTGGGAAGAAAAAGCAGCAGGAACACACCGAATGCGATGATATCGGTAGTCGTGTTAATGGTCGAAAACATCCTCCCAGTCGTCGTGGCTTTCCTCGTAAAGCTCGCAGCAACGCCTTACATTGAGCATAGTACAAGCAACCGTGAGACAACGAGCAGAGATCATCGTCATCGCCTACAACAACATCTCCATCATCATAACCCATCATCATCAACATCATCATCATCAACATCGTCACAGTGAGCATCATCACGGATGTGTTCAGGCTGTAGGCTGCAAGCGCTTACATTCAGGGACCCGGGCTGAGGCAGCTTGTTGCAAAAGGGCTTCGGTCTAGGCCTAAGCGTTAAGGTCCACATGCTTAAGTTTCCGGTGGAGCGTACATAGGACCGCCCATGGAGGCCGCATCCTCCAAAACTTGTGGAGCAAAGGACGCAAGGCTGACATCCAGGTCGATGTCCCGGCTACCTAAACCCTAAGCCCCAAACCCTAAACCTGAAACCAGAAATCTGAAAGCCTAAACCTGCAAAGGCTGAGTAGGCCCAGGCTACCCTCAAGCCAAGACTCTCTTTCAGCACCTCCTCCACAACATCGCGTCTTTCAGAAATGTCCTCCCGGAAGCTCCACAAGGCAAGCAAGCATTATTTCATATTATCACCTATAAAATACAATGCAATATTATGCTATAACATATTATGTTATATCATACTTATATGTCATATGGTACTAGTATGCTCTATACTGTATATACCGTATTGCACTACATTATATTATGGTGCACCATCTCAAACCTATATCATAGGGCTAGCAGACCTTGAGCTCTAAATCCCAAGCCTCGGAATCTGTGACTTTAGGTGTTTCCCTAAACCCTAAACCCCTAAACCCCAAACCCCCAAATCCTAAACCCTAAACCCTGTGTTTGGGGGTTTAGCCCTTAAGGCTTGAGGTTTCGGGGTTCAAGGTCTAGGGGTTTAGGGTTTAGGGTTTACAGTTAGGTAGACGGCCTTCTTTGAGGGTTTAGTTTAGGGTTTGGGGTCTGCAAGACTGTTCAATCGAACTTGACGTTTGTGAGGGGGTATACGTTGGGTGAGCTCTGTTGGTGTTAGAAGGAACTGCGAATATAGTCACCCTTCCTACGCACCCACTTTACGAGTCTCCTCTTGATTTCAACCACAAGAACGTGTGCATGATCTAAACCCCAAATCCAAAAACCCCGGAAGCCCAGAAACCCTGAAACCCTGAAACCACTATATTAAATGCGTCACAAGGACCCATGGGCTTACGAGTCTAAGCCAGAGACAGCTTTACAACCGAACGCCCATACGTGTCATATCCCCTGAGCCTGGACCTTGAGTCCAACAGGCCTTGTCGGTGAAGACGCACACCGACAAGCCCTCCACACCCTCCACGGCTCGCCTGGCGGGCTTCACAGTTTCGAAGGCTTTCAAGAAGGTAAGGATCTCATAGAGGGTGATATGAAGCTTCCAAAGCATCGCATGAACACCGGCAACCCTAAAACTAAAACCCCCAAACCCTCAACCGTAAAAATCTAGACGACGGAAACCCGTCCACTGCACCTCGCCGCAGCGCGGTAGAGCCGCGCGTTGAAGGTCTCGAAGCCGGTGATCATGGTAATCCTAGACTAGGTGGGGCTTTTAAAGCCTTTGAACAATATTAGTAAATAAGATCCCCTTAAGCCCAATAAGGGAAAATACAAAATGTCCCAAAGCCCTACCTAGTAGAGGGTTCTACAGGGTACGGTCGAGGCGTAGGGCTTTAGGGCTCTTTAGGGCTTTAAGACTTTAGGGCTTTAGGGGCCTTGCGTGCTTGGAGGTTCAGGGGTGGTGATAAGTAGGGTAGTTACATATAAATAGGGTAACTATACTTATAATCCATATTCGGGGACTTACAACCCCACTTATAACTAATCATGAACCTCCAAGTAAACCCTAAACCCTGTACCCTTATAGAACCCCTCTAGATCCCTTAAAGGGGCACCCTTATGGGGCCGCCTTGTAGGGCTTTAGGGTTAAGGGCCTTCGTCCCTGGAATTCCAGAAAACGATCTCCTGGCCAAGGGGATGCCACAGCAGATCCCGTAGTCATTCTGGGTTGAGGAAGCCAGCCGTTTAGGGTTTAGGGTTGAGGGCTTAGAGTTTAGAGTTTAGGGTTTAGGAGTTTAGGATTTAGGGTTTAGGGTTTAGGAAGCCGACATAGCAGGACCGGTTTGATCAGGGAGATAACCTACACCCTTTATCCTGAAACCACAATCCGACATCCCAAACCCGAGTTCTAACCTCAAACGGCCCCGACCAATAAAAAGATCTCCCAAACCCTAAAACCCTCAATGCTGAAACCCTAAACCTTAGGTACTGCCCCCTTACAGTAAGAGTCTACAATAGGGCTACCATTAAGGTCCTAATATATCTATATTATGAGTATATATTATTCAACTATTACTGAGTGGGGGCCGTACCCAACCTAAACCGGTGCTCTGGCACACCAAAACCTAGAACCCCTCAAAGCCCTAAAGCCTCCAAACCCCGCACCAAGAAAACAGCGCGAGCAAAGGGCCGAAAACGCCGGCGGCCGGGGCCCAAGAGCTCGAACTCACTGGGGGCCGTGGTGGCCCTGGCTCGCGCTGCATCACCAATATGATGTATATAACATTATGGGGTCCTTAAGGGAGAGTGGTTCAAGGGGGGAGGGTACAAGGATCCTTAAGGGAACCTTAGGGAGCACTAGAGAGAACTAGGGATGAGTAGGTAATCTACCCCCCTCGGAGACCCCCGCATAAGGATGCCATAATAACAGGTACATAAGCAACGCAATACATCATAACTTCTACCAAGTCCAGGAGAAGAGTAGCAGCAACAGTAATCATTACACCATACGAAAAAGGGGAACGTAGTTCAAACTAGTGACCCACAACGGAACAGTACATAAGTTTCTGGCAATGAGAAGAAGAACGACAGCAATCATTGTCATAATTGAGTCTACTACTATTAATACTCATACCAACGAATACTAGCACTCGTACTAACACAAATTTCCTCAACAACACTGATGACAATAAGAAGAAGAAGAAGAGGAAGAGCAATGAAATAACAACAATAGTAGTACTCATAATGCTGATAGGAATACAAGTACTATAGCAATACCTCGTGGTCATCATCAGCCTAATCATAACCATGATGCTGATGTACTACTGTTGGCTAATAGCCTCTAGTTGAGGGTCATTAAAACCTGTGGACGCATGAACCGAGCTGCAGAGAAACGACAAAAAAAAACAGACGAACAATCACAATTGATTCAGCTGGACATGCTGGCGTGGTCGGAGGTTAGTAGGATAAGCGGTGGCCAGCTACATGCATGCTGACGCTTGCTGTGACGTGTAGAGAACGGATTGAGATGACTGCCCTCAACCCTGATCTCAAACCCTCCTCTAAACCCGAAACGGTAGCTTCCTGACCCCTGGCCAAGGACCTCGTTGAATGCCCTTACCCGGTCACAGGGGTACAATTTTCAAATCGCAAAAAACACGACACAAAAGCTCGCAGAAACCCTACAGACACCACCCCTAACCCTAAACCCTAATTAACCCCCAAGCCCTTGAACCCCTAAACCCCTGAAGTACGAAATCCTGAGCGCCCCACGGCTCGGCGGCCACCGACGTCGGGGAATCGGAGTCCCCCTCCGCCTCCTCCTGCGGTTGCTTGCGCAAGAGCTTGTTTGAAATGGGGGTTGCCGAAAATGAGGGACCCCAATATAGCCCCTGAATAATAGGATCCTTCTTATTAGGACCCCTTTGTAAGGCACACGTAATTTTCGGAAACTCCCATATATGTTGTTCAGGGAGCTCAAGGTTCAGAGGGCTAGAGTTTAGGGTTGGGCGGTTGTTGTTGCAGCTGTGCTTTAGGATAGTGTTACAGATACGTACCTTCATAAAGCCTAGGGTATTAGAAGGCTTCTTTAAGGGCCGTAAGCGGGTTCTACGGGGGGGGGGGGGGGGGGGGGTTTCCTTGCAGCTCGAAAAGGTGTGAATTACCGTGAAACAACTCAAAGTCTTAAAACAGGATAAGGTGGGCCTTCAATCGAATCCTCATCCTGATCTTTACGGTTTAAGGTTGTATTCTATGTGTATTGGAACGTTAGGTACAAAGGAAAATCCTCACATTGAAAACCTCTCCCCTGGCTTGATGGAGGCCTCTGCATCAGCGGCACCCGTGAGCTTTGCCCACCAATCCGCGACCTGTCTTGTAGGCTTTGGGGACATATGAATGTATGCAGGATTATGGGGCACGTAAAGGTGCATGTGCATTATATATATATATATATATATATATGTATATATATATATATATATATATATATGTATGTATATGTATAAACAACAATGAATATAAATATAAATATAAATATAAATATAAATATAAATATAAAAATAAATATAAATATAAATATAAATATATATATATATATATATATATATATTAAACTATATGTGCATATACGAGTGTGCATATGCGCATATGTACATGGATTCCATGGATCCGGATATACATATCTAACTACGTATGTACACATAGCTTTTAAGGAACCCTAGGGGATGTTACTGTCAAGTCTTCCGAACCCTATACTGGGGCTTGCTAGAGCTGGCTTGGCTTTTGATAAACCCTCGGTCTAACTTCGAAGAACAGGTGCGATGGCCTATTTGGAGGTTCATGGGTAGCTAGAAGTAGGGTTATAAGTCAGGTAACTATGCTTATAACCCATTTTAGAGGACTTATAACCCCACTTATAACTACCCCTGAACCTCCAAGTAGCCTAGTGGTCTTTAGAGTTAGAATGAGGTCTTGAGGGATGTTGTACTACAACTACTTGCGGAACCTTACGTGCAAGGAATAGTACTACCAATAATGCCGACCGCATTCAGGGTTCAGGGTCTAGGAATAGAGGTTGTGGGTTTACTGCCACAATGTCATTTTGTTTGAAAGTGTCTTTGGGGCGTAACTTATGGCCAAAATTTAAGGAAAGCAATCGGCAAACCCGTCAGAACGGCTGAAACACTCAATCGCATACTGGTTGAAGCTTCAATATTGGGGGGACTCAGAAAATGTCTGAATATAATAGGCCCTAAACACACCCTAAACCCCTAAACTCGAAGGCCTAAAGACAAAAAACAAAGCCCTAAGTCATAAAACTATTATAACTAAAACCTCCAACCCGAAACCAGAAAACTGTTAAGCCCTAAAGCCCTAAAGCCCAAGAAAATCCCCGTCATAAGGTAGAGCCCTTTAAGAAACTCTCGAGGACCCCTATCGGACGCTTGAAGAACCGTTCTACGGTTGATGATATGAATCCTGCATTACCTGAAGGACCCTAAACTATGGGAACTATGGTATAATCCCTATTTTGGGTAATGCAGGATTTATATCATCAACCGTATTACCCTTTCTACCACCCTACCAAACCGAACCCTATCGAACACAAGTACAACCATATAAAGTCTTCTGTAAAACCCTATACACCCCCCATCAAAACAACAACCATCCCTACTAAGCCCTAAACCCGTAAGCCTTAAATCCTAAACACTTAACCCCAATAACCTTTATCCCTTCATTCCCTAAACCCTCAAACCTAAACCCTAAACCCCTAAACTCTAAACCCGATGACACTAAGCCCTAGACAAACCCTAAACCCTAAACAAAGCCTAAACCCTAGACAAACCCTAAACCCTAAACAAACCCTGAGCCTAAACCCGACACCCCAAACCCTGAGCCCTAAAGCCCTAAAGCCCTAAACCCTCACCCACAAGGCAACAGAAAGTTGAAGTGACGTCGGCGACTGGCAATATGGTAGAATATTTAAGAGGACCATTATGTGTAATAAGTGCTAATCTATATCTATATCTATATCTATATCTATATATATATATAATATGTGTGTATATATATATATATATATATATATATATATAGGTATTACTTGGTATAATACACATACACACTGTGCTTGCCAATTCGCGACCCCCAGCATAAATACGAAAAGGCAGCACAATTGCTCCTGGAGGCGGGGGCTGAAAGCAACCGAAATTTTCAGTCTTCTGCGGACAGCTTCTCCAAGGCCAAGTTCCACAACAGAAAAGTACGAGCAGCAGTAGCAGGGGTGTTGTGGCCACTACGCCTTTTGCTGGCTTGCGCGCAAAAGCCGCACCAGGACTCATCCCGGTAGCACCAGAACTCTCGGGGATTCCCGTGGTCCTCGCTCTGATCTTCGGCCATCTCTTGCAACAGATGGATCTTGGGCTTGAAATGCCACAGTGGAAACATCGCCTGGGACTGCAGGCTTCCATACAAGACACAAAAACGTCTGCACTCCTCAGATGCCTTGTTGAAGTCGTAGGCTCCCAGGCTCTCTGCAACCCATTGCTGCAAAGCAAACAAATGACTAAAAAAGCCTGCATTTGCATGACGTGGTCCTCCGGATTGCTCTCTGCTATCTCGGTTGCCAATTCATAACAGAACGGGACTGGATAGCGACATTCGGCACCCTAAGCTTTCAACTCCGGCTTGCTAGTTGCTTTGGATCTTCGCACCATTTCCACCGTGAGATTGTCCACGACGCAGGCTTGTGCCTAGTCTGATTAAAGCCCTAAACCCTGAACCCTAAACCCTAAACCCTAAACCCCTAAACCCTAAACCCTAAACCCTAAACCCTAAACCCTAAACCCTAAACCCCTAAACCCTAAACCCTGAACCCGAAACCCTGAGCCCTCTCACCGGCCCCGGGCCTGCGCTGAGCGCTCCGCCGTCTCCGGCTCCAACAGCGGCTCGGCCCCTGGTTTGCCGTCGCTTTAACCCTTCCAGAACCCTTTAAAAGAAGTACCTTTAAAGGGACCCCTGAAATTTTCCTTACTTAGTAACCCTTATAAATCCCTTATAGGAGCCCTTAAAGGAAGCCTGAAAGTTCCCAAAGCCCCCCTAGAGGCCTATAAGGAGTTTGGTTAAGGGTTTAGGGCTTTAGGGCTTTACGGTTTAGGGCTTTAGAGCTTAGGGTTTAGGGCTTTAGGGCTTTAGGGTTTAGGCTTTAGGGACTTTAGGGTTTAGGGTTGAGGCTTGAGGGTTTCTGGGGTTAGGGGTTTAGGGGTTTACCTAAATTTTAACCCCTTAACAAGAACCCAGGCTTTCTCGGGTTCTCTGGAAGTTCTTGGTTGGGGCTTAGGATGTCAGTGCGGTATAAGGCTTTAAGGTTTTGTGGAGGAACTGAGGAGGGCAGGGAGAAGTCGCATCTGGACATGACAAGTTCGACGCAAAAACGCGCAAACTCAAGCAGCTGACCTCCCAAAATTCACACAACAGACGCAGGTCTTGGGTCCACAGCATTCCGGGATGACACTGCGCAAATAGCAATCAAGCAAGTCCGAACAAGAAGGGCCTCCTAGCAGGGACTTGTTGCATGGGATTTAAAAACGGTCTTGTAAGGGTGCTGTACGTGCCCTAAACTGGTTCTAGAAGGGCTCATGTTCTGCTGTGGTCATACCGCGCTCTCAAAATCACGTTAGGGAAGGGTTCTGCAAGGCTCCTTCGAGGGCTCCACAAAGGTTCCAACAAAAGTTTAGGGTTTTACAAAGGTTCCAGATTGTTTCTACATAGGTTCTTCTACAAAGAGTTTCGTGGCGCGTTTAGGGGTTTAGGGTTTGAGGGTCTCGAGTTCTAACGGTTAGGGCTTCGTGGATTGATGATCTTCGGGTTTAGGGTGTACGATCTAGGAGCATCCGAAAGTGCCATTTAGAAAACCACTAGAGAACCATGACGAGGCCCTGCATAGACCTGTGAGGAAAGTTCTGCTTGTCGTAGTTGCAATCGTGCTTGAAGTAGTAGCAGTAGCAGTAGCAGTAGCAGTAGCAGTAGCAGTAGCAGTAGCAGTAGCAGTAGCAGTAGCAGTAGCAGTAGCAGTAGCAGTAGCAGTAGCAGTAGCAGTAGCAGTAGCAGTAGCAGTAGCAGTAGCAGTAGCAGTAGCAGTAGCAGTAGCAGTAGCAGTAGCAGTAGCAGTAGCAGTAGCAGTAGCAGTAGCAGTAGCAGTAGCAGTAGCAGTAGCAGTAGCAGTAGCAGTAGCAGTAGCAGTAGCAGTAGCAGTAGCAGTAGCAGTAGCAGTAGCAGTAGCAGTAGCAGTAGCAGTAGCAGTAGCAGTAGTAGCAGTAGTAGTAGCAGTAGCAGTAGCAGTAGCAGTAGCAGTAGCAGTAGCAGTAGCAGTAGCAGTAGCAGTAGTAGTAGTAGCAGTAGTAGCAGTAGCAGTAGCAGTAGCAGTAGCAGTAGCAGTAGCAGTAGCAGTAGCAGTAGCAGTAGCAGTAGCAGTAGCAGCAGCAGCAGCAGCAGTAGCAGTAGCAGTAGCAGTAGCAGTAGCAGTAGCAGTAGCAGTAGCAGTAGTAATTAGTAGTAGTAGCAGCAGCAGTAGTTGTTGTTGTCGTCGAGTAGTAGCAACCGTAGTAGTTTAATAGGAGGAGCAGCACCGTAAGCCTAAACCCGAAGCCGCTGCACAAACCCTAAAAACCCGGAAACTTCCTGCTTTTACAAGACTTACACGTATACCGTCTATGCCAGTCAAGTGAATATATTATTCAATATCCAACACAAGCAGAACTACGGATAGTGGTAGTGAAAACCTTGCCCAAGACAAGCAAAACTGCAGATAGCGTTACTAAACAAAGCACTTAGTGTAAACAATGCACAGCCACAGGCTTTGAATAAGAATGTGCAACAAGCACACTAAAGAGATGAAGACATGACGTTCATCAAAAAGGGGCTCCCCTATCCCTAAGCCTCAAACGCTGATAAACCCCAAACCCGAGACCCTAAAGTTCCTAAAGGCACCCTTCAAGGATCCCTTAAAAAGAACCCTTAGAGGATCCCTTAACAAAAAACCCTGAAAGGATCCCTTAAAGGAACCCTAAAGGATCCCTTAAAGGAACCCTTAAAAAAAGAACCCTCCCAAGAATCCTTAAAGGGATCCGCCTGGAAGCTCCCAAGCCGGATGCCGCAGCAGCGACAGCAAGAGGTCCGGCCCGCGGATGAGGTTCGTCAAGGGGAGGTGGCCTCTCGTTCGGGTTTAGGGTTTGGGGTTCCTTAGGGTTTAAGGTTCCTTAGGGTTCATGGTTTCGGGTTTTTTTAAAAGTGTAGTGGCCTTTTCTCCAGGGCCTGCCTGTCGTTGTTAGGGTTTAGGGTTTAGGGTTCCTTAGGGTTCAGGGTTCCTTAGGATGTAGGGTTCCTCAGTCCTTAGGGTTTAGGGTCTAGGTAGGGTTTAGGGTTTTGGGTTCCTGCAGGGCTCCATAGGGGGAGGCTCTATAAGGGTTCACAAAGGTTCAGGACGGATTCCCGGGGCTTCATACAGCTTGCTCAGCGCAGGCTGTAGTTCGTCAACGCGGAGAGGTTTGTCCGGGCTTTGGCCTGTGAGGAAGGTGTGTCTTGTTGCCTCACCCGTGGGCTCAGGGTTTGGGGTACAATTACGGGACATTACCACGCGGAAAACGAAGCATGCGACGCAACAGAATACCAAGCGTCCTGCAAGAAGTCTTCCCAAAAAAGCCAACAGCTCCCTCTAAAGCTAAAGCTTCATGCCTTCCTATAACGCTGTTCCTCCCACCCAGCCACGACTTCACAACCCCAAGCACAATCCGCCGCCAGGGAGCAATGGCATGATGATTACCCAATTTCCAGGGTCGTGGGGTTGTCTGGATCAGGAAGATCAGAAACTCAATGACACGCCAAGCCCCAAACCCCGAAATCCCACAACCCGTGGTAACTGCTTCAAACTCGAGGCCGAGGCTTTGAGATATAATACAGGGGCCTTAATAATCAGAATAGGGTCTCGGGGCCCATTATACGATCCATTTAAGCCTCTGTTTGATAGAACTCTATTCTAGATCCCTTTTCCACCACTTTAAATGGGATCCCTAAACCCTACACCCTAAACCCTAAACCCTATTCTAAGGCCCCTAGAGTACGAACCGAGGCTCAGGCCCGAAGACCCCCCCGAATCACAACTCCAAACGCAGTACGCCCAGACCCCTTAGGGTTTAGGGGTTCAGGGGTTTAGGGTTTAGGGTTTAGGGGTTTAGGGATTTAGGGGTTTAGGGGTTTAGGGGTTAGGGCTTTGGGTTTAGGGGTTAGGGGTTTAGGGATTTAGGGGGTTTAGGGCTTAGGGGTTAGGGGTTTAGGGGTTTAGGGGTTTAGGGGTTTAGGGGTTTAGGGGTTTAGGGGTTTAGGGGTTTAGGGGTTTAGGGCTTAGGGTTTAGGGTTTAAGGCCCACCCCTAACCAATGACAGAGGGCCTCCGTTGTTGGAATAAGGTTTTGCATAGTTGCTGAGTTCATAGGCCCCCAAGAAGTGTACAATTTCAGTTTTGCAGTGGGTAGCATTATCCCGAAAGTGTAAAGTGTATCCACTCAGCTACTAAGTTTGGGGTGTACCATATATACACCTTACATATGATAAGGAACCCTAAGGCCCAAGGAATAGCAGTATTATTTGTCCCCGCTTCTATACATCGATTCAGCCGGCCTTCATCGGCGTTCAAGGAGTAGTCGAACTCCCTCCTGGCGCATGGTTATCTGAACTGACGGGAGGAGGTGCACGATGGAAGGATGGGGAGTTTGCGAGTTTAGGGTTTAAGGCATGCAAACTAACCATAATCAACACAGGCGAACACAGACGTGCATCTACAAGCACATCTGCCATCTTCTTCGGCGTCTCGTCTAGCTCGCTCTGACTTCGCCCATTGAGGCACACAAAACTGAGGCCCAGCTTCTGCCAGGCGCTTGAAAAGCCACCATGAATCTGCTGTATCACAGGCACTGCGCATGCCGATCACTCATTCCGCCCAGTGCCGAGGCGGCGAGAGGACGTGCTCGAAAACTGGAGCAGCCTAGCAAGGCGGTGCAGCTGGGGGTGCCCCGGGGCCCTTCCATGACCACCCAGAACAAACCATCCGTCCGTTCAGCGGCTGCTGCCAAACAAACGGGCGGACCCCGATGAGCTGGACCTGAAGGAAGGCAATGACCTTCCAAAGATGGCCGTGCAGAGGGATTTCTCCCTGGCATGTGAATTGTCCGGCTCCTTGCACCAGTTGAACATGAGCTCCAAATCATGCACACACAACGAAATTCGCAGTGTCTTTGGCTAAGGGCCGCGGGACTGGGACTTAGCAGGCTTGACATGCAGGGCTATGCAATTCCAATCGGTGCGCCTTGCACTTTTGGCTTGGGGGAATTAAGGCCTGCGGTATAGGTCACAGGCGTGAATTATTATTTCAGGTTTAAGGTCTAGAAATTCCAGTATCGACTTGCATGCCTCGGATGTGCATAGCCAGGGAAGGGGGGAAGTGACAAGGGAGGGATAGGGAGGGAGAGAGAGGGAGAGAGAGGCAGAGAGAGAGGGAGAGAGAGAGGGAGAGAGAGTGAGACGAGCACAGATTTGTTTGCACCTTCACCTCTTCTGCGTCTTTATATGGAACGGCCAAAAACCTCAAAGTCTAAACCCTAAACCATTCCTGCCAGACTTTAGCAGCCAAATTTACACCCTGCAGGCTAAGTAAAGGCGATGAACACCCTAAAACCTTCACCCGCCCCGGCCTGCGGGCGTTAACTCCCAAACACAAGCGCCTAGAATTAAGGGCTTAGCGCTTAGGTTCCAAGTCTGGTCAGGGATGTCGGGCTTAGGAGTGCAACCATAAGGATTTCGGGTTTAGGACTTGGGGTTCAGTCAGCAGCTTGGGAGAGCCTTCACGATTCACCCTAAACCCCAAACCCTAGCTTAGTCTTTTTTAAAGTGCAATGGACCCTTTCTGCGAAATGATCCAGCCAAGCTCGGCTTACACGTTTAGTTTAGGGTTTGGGGTTTAGGTCTATGACGTACGGTTGAGGCGCGAGGGTTTCGGGCTTAGCATGCTAATAATCCTCGAAACACCCAGACCCTGAACCCCACAACAAAACATAAACCACCACAAGCCGCTCACCCAAAAGCCTCCAATCCCAGACCCCAGACCAATGCCCTGAACCTTCAAGATTTTTTTCTAGCACTCTTATAATGCAGGGGCCTTAATGGTTTGCCAATAGTGGTTTATAGCCACAATAAAGAACCCTAAGGAATAGTAGTGGTAACTTGTCATCTACATCAACAGAACCTTGAAGAGACCTGAAAACACCCCTTATCCTCGGCTAAACCCTAAACCCCTAAGCCCTAAAACCCTAAAACCCTAAACCCCAAAAAAACCCGTGAACCCTAAACCCCGAAACCCGAAACCCTTAACCCCTAAACCCTAAACCCTTAACCCCTAAACCCCTAAAAACCCTAAAACCCCTAAACCCCTAAAAACCCTAAAACCCCTAAAAACCCTAAAACCCCTAAGCCCCGTCTCGTGCCGGGCATAAGTCCTCGGCCAAAAACGCAGCAGCTGCTCACCCGAGGGGTCGGCCTGGTTGGGGCTCTGTTTACGCTTTAGGGTTTGGGGTTTCGGTTTTGGGGTTTAGGGTTTAGGGTTTGGGGTTTAGGGGTTTAGGGTTTAGGGTTTCGGTTTGGGGGTTTAGGGTTTAGGGTTTGGGGTTTAGGGTTTAGGGTTTAGGTCTTGGGATATAGGGTTTAGGGTTTAGGGTTTAGGCTTTAGGCTTTAGGCTTCAGGGCCTAGGGTTGTTTGTCTAGTGGTTTAGTCTTTTAGCGTTTTAGGTATTCGCGAGAGTTTAGGGTCTGGGGTTAAGCGTTTAGGTGGGGGGCCTCAGAGGTAGAATGGGATGTTTGCGTGAGATGTTGCAAGGTTCGGAAATGTAGGAACTTGATTAAGAAACCCTGGGCCTCTCAGGAGCCCTATATGAAGGCCCAAGGTTTCTTAATCAGGTTCCTACATTGGGGCTTTATCTTGCTTCGGGCCCGAACAGCTAGAACAAGGTTATTATCATGTAGACTTCCTATGTTGGTTCATAGGGCTTTTCGCGTGGCCCAGACAGTTAGACTACAGTTTGGAGGGTTGATATAAGGGCAGTTTTTGTCATTGAGATACCGCGGCTTTTATCCAATTCTAAGGGAGTTTTAGACAGAACCTAGGACCTCGGTTTGAGGATAGAGCATGCTGGGGATTTAGTTTCGGGTCTGAGGCGGTTAGCTTCGGAACTTCGGGTTTCCGATCCCTGGCTTAAGGGCTTCAGGATTTGAGCTCTGCGATTAACAGCGAAAACGCTTGGATGAAGTAGGCGGCGAAGGATCCCTGACACAGGGATTTCCTAACTACCCTTTGAGAGCGGTGGCATCCGGGCTTTAGAGTTAATTTGGCCTGAAACGGAGGTTCTGTAGGACAGTAAACTTCCACGTACTAGTAGCAAGAGCTTAAACCAAAAAGCTTCAACTGAGACTTGTTGCTCCAGGAGCTGGGATGTCCGACATGCACCCATTCCCTGCCTGCATGCGCTGCAACAACACGGAAGATGGATCGGCCAACGCCCAGACCCCAAACCCGCAACATCGTAAAACCCAGAAGCCCTAATCAAAGCCCTTCCAGGACCTATCAAACTCTTACAACGCCCTAGATAAGCATACAGTCAATTCTAAAGCCCAACATAAAATCTGGCCAAACCCCTCGCACTTGTTCACCCCAAACCTAACCACAAAACCCTGAAACCTTAAACCCTGAAACTCTGCCCTGACACCCCCGAAACCCTAACCCTTGAAACCCTTGAAACCCTAAACCCTCCAAGCCCAAAAACATACTCTGTATGGAACGGCCATACCTTAGGGTTTCCTATTCTACGCCCCACAACCCTATCGTAACTACTAAGGCCCATACTCTACACAGCCCCCCAATCCTCTGTCGACCGTCCCGCCTGTAGCCAGCCCACGCGCTGGAGGAACTCATTGAAGTCTTCCCCTCGGGGTGGGAGTAGGTCGGACTAATAGTCATTACTGGTTTTTGAGCGGTGGTAGTGGTAATGGTGCTATAGTGCGGTGCCAGTGCTAGTGCTTACTGCAAATGCAAGTGTAAGTGCAAGTGGCAGTCGCAGCAACAGTGCCGAGATAGGTGGCCTGGAGGTGGTTTCTCAGCTGTCTACTTGATAAAGGCTTCGTGAGAGAAGGTGCGGTTTGGGCCTTTAGGGTTTGGGCGCTGATGTATACCCTGAAACCCGAAACCCAAAACCCTAAACCCAAACCTCTAAACCCCTAAATACCAAACCACAAACACTGAACCCCGAACCCTAAACCCCAAAGGGCACCCAAAGGCCTGCCGCTCGCCACTGGCCCCGCTGCACGCTGTAGCCGAAGCGCCCCTGCGTGTGGCGGACCCACAAGCCATCCTCAGAGGGTCGCTGACTGGGGGGTGTAGGGTTGAGGGTTCAGGGTTTAAGGGTTCAGGTGTTTTTTTTTAAGAGTGTGGTGGGTTCAGGGTTTGGGGTTTAGTGTTTAGGGCATAGGGGTTTAGAGCTCAGTTCAGGTTCAGGGTTTACAGTCTACAGTAAACCCCAAAAAGTTGGAAACCGAATTCAGGCCAAATAGAGCTGGAATTCCCCATACATTGCTCTTAAGGGTTGAGGCTATTGAGTTTCCAACTTTTGGGCTTCTACTGTAAGACTTTCAAGTTTAGGACTCGGGTTTAGCTTAGCTGGGTCAGGGAAGGACTTTGCAGCGATGTTGCACTGCGGAGCCTTTCAGGAGTTTGGGATGGTCTACGTGGAGGTTCACGGGTAGTTATAAATGGTGCTATAAGTCCTATATTATGGGCTATAAGTACCGTTACCCTACCTACAACCCTACTTATAACTACCCATGAACCTCCAAGAACTGAACCTTCCTCCTGTTGCACTGCTTGGAGTTGTATCCAATTGGGAGGTTTGTACTTCCGGATCTGCGTGACCGGCTTGTCATTAAAGGCTCTAAGCGGAATGAAGCTTTACAGTTGAAACTCAATACGGGGGTTTCCGAGAATATGGGATAATTAGAAGTACCCCTGAATAAGGTACCCCTAATTTTTGGGAAACTCCCATCTACAATAAAGCTTAGAGTCAGGAAACTTTTCGGTCCTACTGCTGATGGACAAAATCCTGCATGACCCTAAGGACTCTAAACTATGGGAACTATGGTATATTCCTTATTATGGGTCATGCAGGATTTATATCATCAACCGTAGGGAATTAAAGGTTTCGGGTCGAAGACCTGTAAGGTTTCGGCTTTAGAACTCAGAAGTTCGGCTGGATGCGTAGATTCTTCTTTCCGCTCTTAACTTTGGTTCCTCAAGCTATCACCCCAAACACTACTTGCAGGTACAGGGGTAGTTATAGGTTATAAGTCCCCTGATATGGGTTATAAGTATAGTTACCCTACTTATAACCCTACTCATACTACCCATGAACCTTCAAGTACAACCCGATCTCGTCCGACCAACCATGCGCACGCAGCATGGCCAAGTGCAAACCATGCAGTTTGTGCACAGGGGCCTTCATGAAGATGCCACAATCGGTCGTGAAGTGCCCTCACGTGCGGGGGGGGTAGGTGGCCTTCAGACCAAGATACTTTCCAAAATCCAGGATGGCCTGAAATGTGCGCCAGCACTGGTCGCGGAAGCACTGCCTATGGCACCGGAGCCGTGCTTGTGGAACTTCTTAGAAGCCGGGTCATACTGCTGATGGACAAAATCCTGCATGACCCATTATAAGGAATATACCATAATTCCCATAGTTTAGAGTCCTTCGGGTCATGCAGGATTTATATCATCAACAGTAAGACTCTCCCTATCAGCAGCTGGAGGTCTCCCCCTTCCATCCGGATGGTGTTTCCACGCAGGACTAAATCAGGAACGCGAAAAAGGTCAATGTCGACGAACTAAGATAGCACCCTAAATAGTAGGATCCTTATTATAAGGACCCCCAAATAAGGTACCCCTAATTTTCGGAAACTCCCATGCTTCAAAAAGCACGGCTTCTGCTGCAACTCGCGAGGCGCCCCCCGATTCCGCTGAAACCCAAACAGTCTCAACTTCAAAAAGGGGCCTTAATGGATCTATAGAATAGGGAGGGTTTAGGATTTAGGGGAGAGGGGATAGGGTTTCGGGTTTGGGGGATAGAATAGGGTTTTGGGGGGTATAATATGCTTTTTATAACGAAGCTCCTGAAAAGTATAGGTCATCATTAAGGCGTCTGGAATACCTCAAGCCAAGCAGCCACTGCCAGCAAATCTGCCGGGTTCATCTGCTGGACCTGCAAAGGGCTCGCGAGCCGGGCCCTAAACCCTAAACCCGGCACGAGAGTGCATGCTCCAGGTCGGCGCTACTCGTAAATCCTAGAGCCCCAGCCCCAAGCCCTGAACCCGATCTACACCTCAGGCCCCCAAACCTGCAAGCCTGAAGCCCTAAAGCCAGGCATGTCATGTTGATGAGCAGACATGATCTTCGGGTTTCCGGGTCGTTTAGTTCGCATGGGCGGCAATCGGGACTCCAGGCTTTGGGATGTGGAGTGATGTATAGGATGTACGCGAAGGTCAGCCACATGCTAAACCACATGCCCTACACCCCTACCCCTCAAATGCCCTAGGCCCAAGAAAGCCCGACACCCCAAATCGAAACCCTTCACCCTGCTGTAAGGCAAGGACAGCGTGGTTTGAGATTCCTGAAAAGTCCCTAGTCTGTAAAAGCCCCCTGCACAATCAAAGTTCCCAGACTACTGATGAAAGCCTTCAACCCAAAAATGCGTCTTTGAAAGAACTGAAACACGATAGGCGAAAAAGCCAATGATTGTCCTTTAAACGCTAAGCTACCATGGACCCTGAACCCTAAAGGGCTTAGTGCCGTAGTCCTTCAACCAATCCACTTCAGGCTGCCTTTGGCCGTTTGCTTACCATTACAAGTACCTACTACCCTTAAACTACGATCAGAATGCTAGTTTCACCCCAAACCCTAAACCCCTCCCCCGCTTAAATTACTATCAGCATGCTTGTTTCACGTCAAACGCCAAACCCCTCCCCGCCTTACATTACCATCGAAACTAGCATTCTGACCCTAAACCCCAAACCCTAAGTAAAGCAAGCAGAACCTGACCTCCTCCGGCTGTGCGAAGCCACGCTCCAGTGCGGCAGGGCCCGCGAAGGCAAGGAGGAGATCACGGGTGATCTGCCCGGGAAGGTTTTAGTGGGCTTAGGGTTTAGGGAAAGTTTAGGGCTTGCGGGCTTATGTTTTGGGGGCGTGGGGGATGTTTCCTCGGGATTTGGGAGTTCTTGCACCGTGTTTTATCGCAACAGGATCGGACAATACTGTAAGTTTAATCAAAACATAAACGTGATAAAAACACAGGCCCGTCTTTTGACGCGTTCGAATCGGACAAAGGCTTCATCGATCTCGTCGGTGCGCTCTCCTTCGGCGTTACAGGGGTGTGCTTGCGAGGCCTCCGGCTGCTCCTGCCTTAAACCCGAAACCCCTTAGGAGCTGGCCCGACCATGGTAGCTCCACTACAGTATACCCAGAGACCCCAATATCCCTTAATTAGGGAATATAGCTTCAGGGAGGATCAAGGCTCGTCGTACTGCTCGTTGGGATAAGTTAGTTATGTCCTTGAGGTGATTTTGAGCTTACAGCTCAGGGGTCTGCCGCTTAAGATGTCGCGGTTGAGGATCCTCTTGTAGATTGGACGAGGTTTGCGAACGTCCAAAGACGTAGGCTGGATCTGTTTCACTAAACCCTCCACCCTAAAACCTAAACCCTAAACCCTAAACCTAAACAAGAAACCCTAAACCCTCAAACCTGAACCCTAAACCCTCAAACCTGAACCCTAAACCCTAAAACCTGAACCCGAAACCCCAGCATCTCAGACAGCCGCACCCAATCGGCCTGATCCGCTTTCTCCTGAGACGTGGCTCACTCTCATGGTTTCATAAGGGTCTCACATGTCAAGAGGTGTCAAGAGGGTTTTATCGGGCTTTACAGGGGCCTTCATAATCAACATCAGGTTTCGGAGTAACTATATGGGCAGTTGTCAAAATCATGATCCTTTTTGGGTACCCTAAATAATTGGTGCCGTACTATATTAGGGACCCAGAAAGGGACCATAATTTTGACAACCACCCGTATGGGACTATAAGGGAATGAATGCTAGTCATTTGAGGGCTAGGCGACACCCTGTTGGCGGAAGGAGGACGGCAGTGTGCGTTTGTCTGATTCCTGGGTGTGGTCGAACCCTAGAGCCGGGACCCCTAAACCCATAGGACCGAAATCCTCTTATACACAATGCTACACCCCCCTTAGAACCATAATGAAAAACAATATGGGGTTTTATATGAACAAAGATTAAAATTTAAACATCCTAAGGAGACTATAGAATGAGACTGTGCTTCTTCCAGAAGATGTCCCCGAAATCCAAACGAGGCGGCACTTCGGGATGACCCTGACGGCAAGAAGAGAGCTGCAACCGAGACTCCAGGTGACCACTCTGAAGGCAGGACTCGAGGTAGTCGAGGCCTCGACAGCTCTGACCCCGACCAACACCCGAAACACAAGAGCTCCGGGCATGAAGGGTTTACTGCTTAGGATCTACATACCCCGGAAACTCGCGCTTTGTCGGAGTGTCATGGGTCCGCGACTCGGGCTACGTAGAGTACACAGGTACAAGAATAAGAACGCAAGCCCAAGAGGCAGAAAAGCCTTGCATCCAGATGGGAAGTCCTGTGCTGTAATAAAACAACCGCGAGGCACTGACACTGCGGATGCACCGACAGTCAAGGAACGACAAAGAACTAAACGGCTGGGATTGAGGAGTTGGTCTGGTGTACTATAGGGGCCTCAGTATTTAGCTATACTATTTTGGGGGTTCCTTATTATAACTATAGTTTAATGGGCCCCACAAACCTATTCTAATCATAAACACCCCTATATTTGATTTGGCAGCTTCTTGAAGTGAAGCACCTTTCAATGAAGTCTAATGTTCTCATTCTGCAGTTCATACCAAGGGCAGGAAGGATGTAACAGGCATTGGTGGATGAATCTGAGTTGGTCTCGGCTGGCGTTGCAACGCGCATTGTACCATCCACCTCCAAGTCTGAAGTTGGACATGTTCAGGCGATGAGGCCACCCGAACAAACTCTCTCCCTGCGTTGTGTCGTGGCGCGGCGCGATGGGCTGAAACACTTCGCTGCACCAATTCGGTAAAACGTTCTTGTAATTTGCAGGTCTCAATGGCGTGAAGCACGTAGCCATTTTGGCAGGAATCGCATTATGCTGGAGAAGTCATGGACAGTTATGGAGGGCAAATCAGCAACGTTTAAACCAGAAGGCCTACGGCACCAAACCTGCACGCTCTCTACTCTGTCCCCCTCAACTCTTAAACTATCCCTGAAACCCTAAACTCTCAACTTGTATTCTCATAAAACCGAACCCCAAACCCTTGAAACCTAAACCTTCTCTCCTAATTCGTGAAGGTTTAAATCATGATAAAATCCTAAACCCAAAACCTACGACCCTAAAACCCACCACTGAGTTTCCGAAAATAGGGGCCCTAGTTAAATAGTAGGATCCTGATTATAAGGACCCCAAAATCAGGTGCCCCCTAATTTTCGGAAACTCTCACATGAAGAAGCACGCAGAACCCGAAACCCCGAAAGCCCCCGAGCCCGGCCCCAAAACCCCAGTGGGATCCTTGAAGCCAAGCGAACCTGGGGCCCCCAAAAGGCACATAAGCAAAAAATAAAGGCTTAGGGTTTTGGGGTTTAGGGTTTAGGGTTTAGGAATTGTTTAGGGTTTAGGGTTTAGGGATTGTTTAGGGTTTAGGGTTTAGGAATTGTTTAGGGTTTAGGGTTTAGGAATTGTTTAAGGTTTAGGGCTTAGGGTTTAGGATCCCATATAAACCCCCTCGTAATGAAGCCCGATAAGGTAGGGATATCCCGATGGCTCATGCTTATGTTGATTTTGGGGGTCCCTAAGAACCCGAACTCCAATCGCCCGCACCAAAACTCGAAAATCTTGCAGCGAGGCGGCTGGGGGGCTTTTCTAAAGCCTCACTGGGCTCGGACCAGCAGAGTCGTATGGAGCTTAAGTCGTTCGGACCAAGAGCTTATGGGTTGCGCAACTTGGGAGTTTCGGAAAATAGGGGACCCCAATACAGTACTCTAAACTGTAGGATCCTTATTCTAAGGACCCCAAAGTAAGGTACCCCTAATTTTCGGAAACTCCCATTTAGGTTTTCCCAGACTTTGCAAGGTTTGCCATGTAGGGCCTACCTGGAGGTTCATGGGTAGTTATAAGTAGGGTTGTAAGTCCCCTACTATGGATTATAAGTATAGTTACCCTACTTATAACCCTACTTATAACTACCCATGAACCTCCGAGAAAGGCTGCAGGCAGGTTGCGGGTTACCAGTATAGGGTTTAGGGTTCAAGCGGTAAGATTTCCGTGATAATACCTAGCGACCTAGCTGCCCACGCTCATGTGGAGATACAGAAGTTTCAAGTAGGCATAAACGATGCAGAAACAAAATGAAACACATACGGCTGTGGGCCTACTGAACTTGTTTTGGTGTTTTGGCACCCCATCCTGAACCCTACCTGTAGCCGAAAAGACCTACCTCTTTAAGGAACTATATATGGAAACCATAATAAGGAACCCCAAAAAGGTAGGTCTTTTCGGCCAAAGGTAGACCCTAGACCCTCAAACCCCCAAAGCTAGGACCGAATCTCTCAGCCCGGAACCTGTCAAGCCGAAACTTCCTCTAAATCCCCATGAACCCTAAACCCTAAATCCCCATGAACTCTAAACCCTAAACCCTACATCCCCATGAACTCTAAACCCTAAACCCTAAATCCCCTCGAACAGATAGCCGCTACTGCCATTGTTACTCCTACTGCTGCTTCTACGTCTCTGCGGCGGCTACTGCTGTTGTGTTGCTTTCTCGAATCACAAGACCATCCAGAACACTTTCCGCGCCTCAAAGACCCATCCACTTCCAGAGCCCTTTTTCGACACCCTCTTCGGAACCTTTAAAAAACAACCGGTATGGTAATACCTCGTGCGAACCGGTAGCGGAAGCCTTAAACCAATCCTCCCTAAAACCATCCCAGCTGCTGTGCGCTTCGACATGGAGGCGGCTGGGGGCCGGCGGAGGGCTCGGACACGAGCCTGCTTGGTTCCATAAGGTCTTAAAGTAAAAGCCAGAAAGTCGGAATATGATTATCCTAAACCCTTTATGGTAAATTATAAGGTATCCTACCCTGAAACCATATTCCAACTTTCTGGAGTTCCCTTTTAGTTTCTGGTTTAGATTTGGGAGTTCCCGAAAATAGTGGACCCTAGTATAGTACCCTAAATAGTAGGATCCTTTTTATAAGGACCCCAAAGTAAGGTACCCCTAATTTTCGGAAACTCCCATTTGGGCTTTCGAGCTTCAAGGCTCCAAGAAACTATTAGAGCTTGATACAGTGCCGTTAACTGTGGAATATGCTGAAAAAAGTGATGAAAATTAGAATACGGAAACACTATAAAGAATAAGGAAACACTATTTCAAACTATTCCGGTCGCCATAGTAGAGCTTTCTTGCCCGTTAGCTTTGAGACCATCGCACAAAAGAGACTTTGGAGGTTTTTAGTACAGTTGGTCAGGTGTTCAGTAAACACCTGAGCTCTCAACACCCCACCCTTTTTCCAGAGAATCACCGGGCTTTGCACTTCGGAGCACTCAAAGGTTCGCTCCAACTGAGAGAACGCTGGAGCTTTCAAGCTCCCACTGGAAATACGAGGATATCCCAAAAGTCAAAAGTCCCTACACCAGAGAGCCCCGAGCAACCTGCAAGCCCCAAGCCAAAACTGCTAGAATTCAATCTAAAACCGAAACCCCAAACTCGAAACAACCCTACCGCACACCAACCTGGCATGATACTGGACGTACGGTGTTCCACACGCAGCAGTGGTGCCGAGGATCAACCCCCCTCTGTAAAAGATGTGCACTCGGGCACACACATTGGCTCATCTGCCAAATGCTCTGAATAAAAATATACGGCGGCAGCCCATACAGGGTGGGCAGGCGGGTGCAACAGAAGAAAGAAGGCAGCTCAACACAAGACACTAGCAGCCAGGCAAAGCTGCACACTCAAGCAAGGCGAATTCGAGGACGATTCCTGCGCCACTTAGGGTTTGTGGCACGTTGGCCGTATACCCATGCCACACCAGCTCGACCCGACCGACAAAGACGTTAGACCCCGACATGCGTAAACTTTTTTGGAGATGCCAAATGCAATCACGTCACACCCTTACAAAAGCCTGCGCGGCCCTCAACACGTGACAAAAATCAATCATGTAGTTTGTGAGACAAACGATTAGAAACCAATGCGTATGCACATAACTATATATATAAAGAGAGAGAGAGAGAGAGAGAGAGAGAGAGAGAGAGAGAGAGAGAGAGAGAGAGAGAGAGAGAGAGGAGAGAGGAGAGAGGAGAGAGAGAGAGAGAGAGAGAGAGAGGGGGACAGCGAAGGAGGGAGCGAGGGAGGGACGGAGCGGCGGAGGGAGAGTGCGTCGAAATAGAAGAACCTTACACAGTCAAGTCTACCTTGTGAAAAGGGACAGTTACAAAACACAGGCCTGGATTCCGACGCTTTGCAGGTATATATGTATGAACGAATGTATGTGTATATCAAGTATCCGTCTACCTATATATATATATATGTAGAGAGAGAGAGAGAAAGAGTATCTGTCTGTCTCTATCTCTGTCGGAGAGGGAGAGAGCGAGAGAAAGGGAGAGAGAGATGCGTGTGAATGCATATATGCTTACATCCACATACGTGTATGCTTAGTCATATACATAGTCATATACACATACACATTGGACATACATATATACGTGTGCATATGCAAAAATACAACGTAAGGCGGAGAACATGTGTGCGCGTGTGTGCGTGTATGTACAAACAAAGCCACAGGGCATCGAAGTTCCAGGCCCTTACCGCTGGTTAGTAGGGAATGGAAGAATGGTAGTAATAGTAGCTACAACTGTACCCCATTCCTCCATTCCCTACTAACCAACGGTGAGCACAACCTTATAAGCTTGAACCCTAAGCCATAATTAGGCCCTATAAACTAAATATCAATACCGAAGTTCCAGGCCTTGACCTTCGGAGGTGCTTCGTCGATCGATGCGACACGGCGCCTCACTGAGCCCAAAGCAAAAGTTCTTACAGGTCTTAACTGGGCTCTTCTTAAGGAATGTAGTTTGAGTTACCATTATTTTAAGGCTCCTTTAAAGGGTTCTATAAGCGTTTAGGGGTTAAGGGATTCAGCTTAAGTTACCATGGTAAAGAAACCATATTATTTACCAAAGATCCCAATTGTGGTGACTTATAGGGTGGAGATTTTTGTTTGACCCTTTTATTTTTTATTTTTTGGCCCTCTTTTTTTTTTTGGGGGGGGGGGGGGCGGGGGTGGGGGCGGGGCTAGGGGTTTCGGGTTTAGGGGGGAGTTCCCTACGTTCCCTGGTTTCGGGTTTAGGGGGGAGTTCCCTACGTTCCCATGGGAAAACTTCTAGTTTGTTTATATTTCCCTAGTATAAAACCTATCTTGTATCTAGTTTTAAGGTGGAAAACAAGGATTTTCTCGATATGTCCATATCTACATCCATAGACCTGTATTTGTCTATGGATGTAGATATGTTTACGCAGGAAAACAAACGAGTGAAGTTGTTTTGGGAGCATTTATCTTATTTCTCTTTATTTGGTGTTCATTGTTGTTCTTTGGTTCGTTGTCTTGGTTTTTCCTAGGAAAACCAACATTGTATAGCTTCGTAAGATTAATACCACTTTTTGAATGAGTTCCTATGAATTCTTTCGTTTTGATTCGTTTACTTGGTTTTCCACGGAAAAACAAAATTTCTTATATCTTTTCATGAGATTAACTCATTGCTTTGTTTTTGGTTCGTGTCCTAGGTGTTTCCCGGGAAAAACCAACATTTCCCACATGAGAATATGCCTCTGGTTTAGGGTTTAGGGTTTAGGGTTTAGGGGGGGAGGGGAGTTCCCTACGTTCCCGGGTTTCGGGTTTAGGGGGGAGTTGCCTACGTTCCCATAGGAAAACTTCTAGTTTGTTTATATTTCCCTAGTATAAAACCTATCTTGTATCTAGTTTTAAGGTGGAAAACCAGGATTTTCTCGATATGTCCATATCTACATGCATAGACCTGTATTTGTCTATGTTTACTTCTACGTTTACGCAGGAAAACAAACGAGTGAAGTTGTTTTGGGAGCATTTATCTTATTTCTCTCTATTTGGTGTTCATTGTGTTTCTTTGGTTCGTTGTCTTGGTTTTTCCTAGGAAAACCAACAATGTATAGCTTCGTAAGATTAATACCACTTTTTGAATGAGTTCCTATGAATTCTTTCGTTTTGATTCGTTTACTTGGTTTTCCACGGAAAGACAAAATTTCTTATATCTTTTCATGAGATTAACTCATTGCTTTGTTTTTGGTTCGTTTTCGAGGTGTTTCCCGGGAAAAATCAACATTTCCCACATGAGAATATGCCTCTGGTTTAGGGTTTAGGGTTCTCTCTGGGTTTTGCTTCTTGCTACGCATCGATGCCTCCATGCCTGTGGAAGGTGGTGCCGAGTTGCAATCCTGCGCGCGTGCTGCATCGTTGATTCATAGCTTTGATCGGGCATGGGTGACCTGCAATGCCATCAATGAAGTCCAGTGTTGCGCAGGTATCAGTGTATATACGATTACGTTCCTTTTTTCTTCCATCCTTCCTTTCTTGCTTCCTTCCTTGTTTGTTTTCTCCTTCCTTTCTTCCTTCCCTCCTTCCTCTCTTCCTCTCTTCCTTCCTTCCTTCCCACGGAAGGGCAAACAAAAAAAAAGGGCACCAAAAAAAAAATAAAAGGGTCAAAAAAAATTGGGTCCCCTGACTTATATTACATTCCTTAACAAGAACACCGCTAAAGGCTTTTACGGGTTCGTTTGTAGAAGGGTCAGTAAGGTTCTACAGTTTGGGGGGTTATAAGGATGCTACAAGGGCTCTCAGGTTTCAAGCTTGGACGCTTTAAGGATCTTCATATAGCGGCCTCAATACAACCAGACTGTACATAATTGGAATTTGGGAGGTAATAGTCAGTCTAGGATTTAGGAGTATTGCATGAACTTTGAAAGTCTTACGAAAGGGTTTGGCTAGGTTCGGAAAGTTCGCAAAGAGTGTCGCTCAGGGTTTTCTGGTCTTTCATAACCCTAAACCCTAAACACTAAACCGTAAACCCCTAAACCCCTAAACCCCTAAACCCCTAAACCCCTAAACCCCTAAACCCCTAAACCCCTAAACCCCTAAACCCCTAAACCCCTAAACCCTAAACCGTAAAGATCCAGCGTGGTAAGATGTTAAACCTCAGGCTGCGCGTTCCTAGGAGGCGTGGTGAAGCTCTTTTAGATGTGTGGGAGACCTTCGGAGGCCTCTGTGAGGCCCCTGTACTTGGGGTTTAGGGGTTTAGGGTTTAGGGTTTAGGGTTCAGGGTTTAGGGTTTAGGGTTGGAGGTTCATGGGTATTTATTAGTAGGGTAACTATACTTATAACCCATATCAGGGGACTTATAACCCTACTTAAGACTACCCATGAACCTCCAAGTAAGCCTTATAAGGGTTTAGAGTTTAGGGGTTTGAGGTTTAAGGGGTTTAGGGTTTAAGGGTTTAGGGGTTTAGGGGGTTCAGGGCTTTAGGGTTTAGGGTTGATCCTGCAGGAGCCATGTTCCGATCCCCAATCGGCCCAAAAGGGCCATTCTGCGTGGCAACCTGACGGGGGGCATGCACGGAGTTTTAGGGTTTAGGGCTTAGGGTTTGGGGTTTAGGGTTTAGGGTTTAGGGCTTAGGGTTTAGGGTTTAGGGCTTAGGGTTCAGGCTTCAAGCGTCGCTGCGCCAGGGATTTAGGGATCTTCCCTCGACGAAGGGCGTGTTAGCGACGCACGCCAGGCCGTCGACGAGTGGAATATCGCAACCAACACAGATAACACCCTAACACCCCAAACCCTAAACCGAAAGCCTGCTCCAAAGCCGCATTCAACAACTTAATGGCATCTTCATTACTAACACCAGGGAGTGTACGAGGGCTGAGGCACCTAAAGTGAGGCCGGAGACCCTTCAGGGCTTTGGGCTCAAGGCTTTGGGATTTAGGGTTTGGGCTTAGGGCTTAGGGCTCAGGGCTTAGGGTTTAGGGTTTAGGGGTTAGGGTTAGGGTTTAGAGTTTAAGGTTTAAGGTTTAAGGTTTAAGGTTTAAGGTTTAGGGTTTAGGGTTTAGGCGTAAGGAGCCTGCGAACATTTCTGTCCTGAGCCCACTGCCGACATCGCTCGGCCCGTCTCCTGAAGGACCTGCAGAGAGCCCAATGTAGTACCAGGCAGGCCATTGCTATGACTACTGGCATTAGTTGTACTACTAGTATTACTAGTACCAATAGTATTAGTAGTGATAGTACTAGTACTATAGTATCAGGCTATTGGGTTGGGGTGATAGTTGTATAAAGACCATAAGGAGGTCCTGCCGCTAGTTCTTCAGGCTGCTGATATCGTGATGTGGGTCTGGCTTTTAGAACACCTTAAGCCCACACCCGAAATTCTCACAGAAACCCTATAGTCCTCCGAGCCTGCACAGCTTGAACCGAACAACCCCTTCAGTTCCTGATGCGCTTCGGGTTTGAACCCTGAGGGTTTGGGCCTTAGGGCACCCAAAGCACCAAATGCAACCTTGACATGAGTCTCCGCAGCTTCAAACTCACCTGGGGAGCCTGAATTTTAATCACAGAGAATGAAGATGAGGATGATTGTTCTTCCTAGTCTTATCGCTCGTATTGTTCTGATTGTTGTTGCTGTTCTCGGTGTTCTTCTTCAATAGTTTGATATTATTCGTAAGCTTTCAGGCCTTGAAGCTCGAAGAAAGAACCTACCTTCAACCTAAAATCCAACATCCCTCACCCCGCGACTCTCCCATGCCCCAAGGTCTATGCTGTGTGGCCTTATAGGAGGAACCTCAGCGACTCGGAAATAAGAGAGATCCCACCTCGATAAAGGCAGCACCAACGCCACCGCCGCGGCAGCCCGTCGCGGCTGTGGCCGTTGGGGTGCGCAGCGCTGGGGGAGCGAGGCCTGAGGTAATCATAATAGTAAGACAAACAACTACATTAGTCATACTGAGAATAGACATTGTACAAGTAATGCATGGTAATACTAATCACTAATCATACTACTTGTACTACTTGTACTATGATACTTAGATTCCAAGCCCTTCATTCCTCGAGGCTTCCAAGCATAACCTCTCGACCCGGGGAGCTGGAAGTGCTGATCCTGAAACCACACCGCCAATACTTCCAGGGTTTAGTGTTTAGAGTTGCGTCGAAGCTTGCGGAAGGCAACCTTCTGAAACATGAAGTTGCGGACTTCGGGTACTTGGGGCTTAAGGGTTTAGTGTTGAAGTAAAGGGCGGCTTCGAGTTGGGGAAGGTGGCTAGAGTCTCGGGAAGACACCTCACCCAAAAGGCACTGTTGGGTAGAATAGCGTTGTCGGATACAATATCGTATAGTTCTGTAGGGACTATAAGAGATGCTACTGCTGATAATTCGACCTGTATCTCTGAACCCCAAAATTACATCAAAACTCGGTTCGGCTAGAGCCAGGCACCCAAAACCCTAAACCCTAAGCGGAGCCAGGTCAGCCAAAGGGCAAGAGAGACCTCCTGCCGCAGAGACGGTGTGGCTGACACAGGCGCAGGAGCTGTCTCCATGGCAGCGAAAGAGATCTAAAAACTAAACCCTAAACCCTACTCGGAAGTCCATGGGTCGTTATAAGTAGGGTTATAAGTAGGGCAACTATACTTATAACCCAAATTCGGGGACTACTGAGGTGTAGGGCGGGGGAGCCTTGGGGACGCACATCCTAATCTTGAGGGTCTCGCTAATTGCTAATTAGGCTATACAAGGATCAGTCACATATTGTCGAGTCTACTACTGTTAGGCTGGAAATCACAGTCTAGAGGCTCGGCATGCAGGGAGTATGGGTGCGAGTTTAAGTTCCAGGAGTTTTGGAAGCAGAGGTACCTCACACTTCTACAGCCTTCGGGGGCTGTGGGACGATGAGCCGTTACAGTCACCAGACACAGGCGCCGCGGATTTACACGCCGCGTTCTGGGCTTGAAGAGGGTTGAAGACTTAAGGGGCAATGAAAGCTCACACCCACTCTCAACCTTAAGCCCTAAAGCTCGGAGGTTCTCTCGCAGGCTTAACTGGGTGGCAGCACAAGACGCGCGCTTGCAGCATGGACAAAAGCCCCAGCCGTTCAGATCGTGCGAAAGGCATAAATCCACAAGGGAGTCAGAGAGGGCTTTGGAGCATATGGGAGTTTCCGAAAATAGGGGACCCTAATGTAGTACCCTAAATAGTAGGATCCTTATTATAGGGACAACCGAATAAGGTAACCCTAATTTTCGGAAACTCCCAAATGATAACGCTATAAAATGCAGGGACTTTCAAGTTCAAGGGATACTGCACTAATACTTCTTCCGACGCCTCTAGGAAAAAAGTGAACCCTAAACCCCTAAACCCTGAACCCTAAAGGGCCCCTGCGCGGCCCTCACAGAGGTGGCGGCCATGTGTGCGACAGGGGCCAAAGGCTCGATTCGAGGTTTTCGGATTTAGGAATAGAAAAATTAAGCCTACTATAGGGGCCTTGGCAATTAGAATAGGGCCTATTTTGCTATAACTATAATAAGGAACCCCCAAAATAGTATGGGTAATTTTCTAAGCCCCTATATTAACACTGAACCCCAACTACAGTTTGAGCGGTTTTCGATCTGTCACAAAGCCTTCGTGGGGAGCAGTGGTGAGGCTAGGGGTTAAGAGCTTGGGCGGGCTTTTCGCCTTGATGGCTCGGAACTGGCATTGGGGAGGATGACGCCGTTGCGACGCTGATGTCATGCCGGGACGGGAGCAAGCCAAGAGGTACCCCAACGAACAACGAAAACCGAGACATGAAATATCAAGGTCAGGGTGTGTAGGCCTTGTTGGGGCCTTTGACACATAGGGGTTCGTTCTCTGCATCGTTCGAGGACAGAAGCTACTTACATCACAAAAACCCTTAATTGGTTGAGGTAAAACAAGCCAAGCCCTAACCCTCAATTGCCCCTGGCCGAAACGCCCGAAGCTTTCAGCCTCAAATCAGCGAATTCCGACAGAACAATCCCGACCCCTAATTCGCAGCCCCAAACAGAAACCTTCTGGCTCGAGAAGCGGATCTACGTGAACAATCGCGCTATTTTCAGGAGCACCATCCTCATCAGCAGCAGCATCACCATTTTGAGGACAAGCCCTAAACCCTAAACCCCTAAACCCTAAACCCTAAACCCTAAACCCTTAACCGCCTTAATCCTTACACCCCTAAACCAATGGTTGCCAGATCCTTAGCACCAACCTTGCCTTCGCCACTGCGACCCTCATCGTCACCACGGTCGTCGTCACCAGCCTGCGGCCTTCAGCCCTAGCGCCCACCGGGAAAGCCTTAGAGCCTCGCTTCCTTATTCCTACACCCTAGACCCTAAACCCCAAATCCTCAACCCTAAACCCTAAACCCTAAACTCTAAACCCTAAACCCCTGAAGCCCTGAACCCCTAAACCCTAAACCCGAAATTGAACTCCTCAACCCTTTACTTCTAACCCTTATGCCGCATGCCCCTACCCCCTAGGCACTCACACTCTGGCCCTAAAGCGCCAAACGCCCCCGCCCAAAAAAAAGCCTTGAATGCCCTGCCCCAAAGGCCCCCCCAGTAGGAGGTTTGCGGGGTAGTTCTAAATTGGGGGGTTATTATAAGTAGAGGAACTACTATTTGCTTAAGAAACCCCCAAAAAATGAAAATAATAATCCCTATATTACCCCCATAAGGAATATATTTTTTTTTTGGGGGGGGTTCTTAAGCAAATAGTAGGGAACTCTAATTAGCAAACAGAGCCCTGATTAGGGGACTGATAGCTTATGACTCTCCCTACAACTTCCCGCGAAGCTCCAGTTTCAATCGGCTCCTCCACGGAGGCCTGTACCCAGGCCTGAACCACCTCGAAGAGGAGATCCTTCGGAGAGGGTCTCAGGGGCCTTAAGGGGGGCCTTAGGGGCCTGAAGCGCCTTTAGGGTTCGGGGTTCAGGATCTAGGGTTTAGGGTTTAGGGTTTAAGGTTTAGGGTTTAGGGTTTAGGGTTTAGGGTTTAGGGTTTAGGGTTTAGGTCTAGGGTTCAGAGTTTAGGGTTCAAGGTTCCGGGTTCAAAAGCTCCGCTAACTGTGGGATTCAAGGTTTGGGGTCATGGGCCGTGGGCGATTGCAACGGCAACTATACTTGCGCACACACTTGCGCACACCACACATCCTTCGCACTCTCCTGCAGGTTCGAATATAGAATACAATACCGAACAACCTAGAACACCCCATGAAACCCCAAAAGCCCTCAATGTGTACAAACATTGGCCACGGAACGTAGCACATTTCATGTCCACCGTCCTCGGTCTGCCCGTCCACGAGGCTCGTGAGCCTGAGCTCAAGAAGAGCAAAAATATCGAACGTAATCGTCAAAAGTCACATCAAGAATCGTCCAGATAAAAGGAACCGCTTGGAGGTTCATGGGTAGTTATAAGTAGGGTTATAAGTAGGCTAACTATACTTATAACCCATATTAGGGAACTTATAACCCTACTTACAACTACCCATGAACCTCCAAGCGAGATTCGAGGGCTTGGACTTGGCGGGCGGGGCCTTCAACTCTCGAACTAGTGAAAAGAGACTACCCTAAATCCTAAACCCTAAAACCCTAAGTCCTGAACCCTAAAACCCCAAAACCCGAAACCCTAAACCCTACACCCCTACACCCTAAACCCTAAACCCGTGAACCCTAAACCCTAAACCCCAAATCCCAAACCCAAAGCCTGGACCTGACCCCTAGACACTAAACCCCAATCCCTCGATCGAGAGCTCCGCGTTCTAGGCTTAAGCAGGGAATTCGGGCTCCTTGAACCAACCCCGGAAAAATCGAAACCTTCAAGCCCTCAAACCCTGAAACCTCGAGCCTTGCAAAAAACAGACGGTTTGCGGATGGAGCCGGGACCCTGGCACGTTCTTCAGCTTCGCCTTCTTGGCATCCATCAGGACCTGCGCTTTGCCCCAGAAGTCTTGCTAGTTCGCGCTTTGGCCCCAGCTATTGGACTGTCTAGGGGCTTCATAGGCTCATTGCTCCGGAACAGACTAAACTACCATGGAGCGACTAATGTAGACATCCATGTGCTGTCCCTACGCCGGCGCAAAACTGCCCAAAACCGGAAACCTGAAAGCCCAGGTCTTCAACCTCAAACCCGAAGCCCTTAACCTTAAACACTAAACCGCTAAACCCGTAACCTTCAAGCCTTTAGGGTTTACCTGAAACTCCAAGCCGCTCAAAACCCCGAACGGTCGAAACCCACCCCGCCCGCCCACACTACAATAAAGGCGCCCTGACAACTAGACAAACAGAAAGGAAGCCTTGGATCGTCTGAGAAGCTTGTCCAGCCCGTTGGTACTTGTGGCACAGAGTTTCCGAAATTAGTGAATTCAAGCAAACACTAAACTCTAAACCCCGACAACACCAAGACAACACTAAAGCCACTCCGTGACCCTAAAAGTCTAAAGCAATCAACCGCAAAGCCTTGAAACCCTAAACGATGACAGCTTTGGTTCTTAAAACACCCTCTGCGGCTCGGCCGCCTCGATTTCATATATGGGGCGTAATAATTAGAATAGGAGGGTGTGGGGATAGATTATACACTGTATATAATAAGGAACCCGCAGAATTTGTATGATAGGTACTTATTCAGGCCCCTATAGTAAGGCCCCAGACAGAGAGGGATGCCTTCAGCTCCTTCTCTAAGCCGCGGATGTTCTCTTCCGTGGCATGTTCCCGACGCTCGGTCTGACGGTTGAGGCTTTGGGGTTTAAGGGCTGACTTGTTGGGATCTCGGGTTTATGGAGTCTGCGGCTTTGTGTTCGGAGCTTAAGGTTGGAAGGTTGGGGGGCAATCAGGGAAGTTCAGTGAAGATTACGGAGTGCATCGGGTCATTCTGGTGGCTTTTGAAGACCTGAACTGTTGCCTTGTAGTGTTGGTAGAGCAGTGTGGTAGGAACCCGCCAAACCCTAGTCTAATTATTAAGGCCCCTACACTTCTCCACCGTACCGTGGATCTCCCCCGGGCCGGCACATGCAGTTTTTGTTGGCGCAGAGTCGGGTAGGCGCACACAACTGTTTCACCCGAATTCATTTGCCATCGGATACGTCTGTCGACTCTGCAATCCGCCGAGAAAAAAGGCCCCTACATTAGTATCACTCAGAAACCCGGGAGCTTGCCATCTTCAGTACCCAAGAAGGTCTCCAATCGGTCCTGAACCCACAACCTCCAACATGCTCATGCTTTGAAGGGCTCCTGCTGGCTACAAGCTCGATGATTCGGTTTAGGGTCTAGGGTTCAGGGTTTAGAGTTCAGAGTTCAGGGTTTAGGGTTCAGGGTTCAGAGTTCAGGGTTTAGAGTTCAGGGTTCAGGGCAGAAGGTTTAGGGTTCAGGGTTTAGGGTTTAAGTTTCCATGATTCATGATTCAACACCCGTAATGCGCTTAGTGCCAGGAAGAGCGCTGCCTCCAGGAACTGTGTCCAGGCTTGGTAGCACATGACCTGAAAGGGTTTAGGGTTTGGGGGTTTAGGGTTTAGGGTTTAGGGGTTAGGGTTTAGGGTTTAGGGTTTAAGGGGCAGAGCTCGTGTTTTTTTCGCTTGAAGAAGTGTACAGTTGAGGGCCTGAATCATTAGGGTTAATTACTTCAAGTATCGGCTAGTTTGAGGATTTCAGACTTTAGGTAGCAGATGTAGTCTTGGCCACACAACCTCGTCTTCGGCATCTCATACTCTTTTGAGCGGATCCGACACGTCTTGCATAGATGCAGCTCTCTGATAGCTGCTGTCCTGTTCCGGGGTTAGAGTTTAAATAAATACCCATATTATTCCTTAGGGCCTCTAATTATGATTGCTCTACAACCTACCCCCAAAACCCTGCTCTAATTATGAAGGTCTCTATACTAAGCGGGTCCAGTCAGACCTTTCCCGGGCCCCTACGAAACATAGCAGCGTCGAGTTGCAAAAGAGGCGCGAAGCATCGCAAGTGATCAGGGTTCGTGTTTTGGGGTTTAGGGGTTTAGGGATGTCTAGGGTTTAGGGTGGGGTCCAGGGTTTCGGGTACAAGGCTTTGGGTTCACCTCAAGGTTTTCATGGTTCGGGGTTGTGGGCTCCTTCTGCAAGGCATGCCCAACTCTCTATTGAGCGACTGCTTAGGAACAGATTCTGCATTTGCGCGCGTGCGTATGCATGTATATAGCGCAACAATACTTCAAACTTGTTCATAGCAGCCCCTAAACCCTCCTAAACCCTAAACCCTAAAACCCTGAACCCCTAAGCCCCTAAACCCTAAACCCTAATGAGATATGCATAGCAACAAGGGAAGAAGCAACTCCGGCAGGCACGGCCCAAGGCGCTGACCAAAGGACCCAGCCGTGATTCTTCGAGCATTTGGGCCACGATCTGATAGACTTAGGTTCTTTTGGGGGTTGAGGGTTGAGGGTTTAGGGTTTAGGGGTTCAGGGTTTAAGGTCTGGGATTTAAGGGTTTAGGGGTTTAGGGCTTTAGGGGTTTAGCGGCTTAGGGTATAGGGTTTAGGATTTGTTTGGTTGAGGTTGCAATTCAGCGGCCTTAAGAAATAGAATAAGGTTTTGGGCATCTTGTAAAAAAACTTCCTCAAGGAATTGGAAGGAATAGCTTTGCTAATGTTTCAAGCTGCAGTGGGTTCAGGGTTTAGAGGTGTAGGACTCTGATTCTGGTTGACGGTTCAGGATGTGCAGCTCAGGGCTTTGGATTTGGGGCTCAGGGTGTGGAGTCTAGGATTTTGGAGGACCGCGAACCTTTAAAATGGGTGGTTGTCAAAATTAGGGTCCCTTTTTGGGTACCCTAAACATTAGGTGCCGCACTATAATCAGGACCCAAAAAGGGACCATAATTTTGACAACCACCCAAATCAAAGCTCAGATCCACTAACCACAGCAACTGGTTCCCAAACGCTCGAAGTTCTTGCAAGCAGTGCTAGGAACCGGGCCCCTTCCACTTCATCTCCAACATTCTTAACCGGAGGGTTGAGGGTTTAGGGTCATGCGGTCATCCCATTAGGCTTCGGAACAAGAGTCTGCAAGATTAGAACATGCCATTGCTTATTGCACTCGACAACCACACACACCCCGGCGGCAAATCTTCGAATCACGAGACCCTGAACCCTGAACCCATAGATCCCCCAAAGCCCGACAACCCAGAACCGCCGCAACCCCTGAGGCAAAGCCCTGTCTGTCAGAAGAACAACAAGCCCTGATAGAACCCTTCCTTAAAAGCAGGACACAAGGTAGCTTCCGAAAGTTAAGGTACCCTATCTGGGGGTCCTCAGAACATAATAAGGACCCTACAATTTAGGGTCCTGTATTAGGGTCCCCCATTTTCGGAAACTCCCACAAAGATCTTCAACCCTAAACCCTAAACCCTAAACCCTAAACCCCAAACCCTAAACCCTAAACCCTAAACCCTAAACCCAAACCGATGTTTCGCCTTCCTTCCGCTGGCCGCTCGGCTCCTGGCGACGGCTGCCAATTGAAGTCTTGCCTCGGCTTTGGGAGATGAAAGTCGAGGCTTTAGGGTTTAGGGTTTAGGGGTTTAGGGGTTTAGGGTTTAGGGTTTAGGGGTTTAGGCTTTAGGGGTTTAGGGGTTTAGGGGTTTAGGGGTTTAGGCTTTAGGGTTTAGGGTTTAGGGTCTAGGATTTGGGGTTTAGGGTTTAGGGGTTTAGGGAATTTTTTTTGGATACGCGCTGACCCAAGTGACCCCAAGTCTGCCTGTACAGGCACGCGTTGGTGAGACTTGGCTGTAGGGTTTACGGTTCAGGCTTTAGGGTTTAGGGTTTAGGATTTAGGGTTTGGGGTTTAGGATTTAGGCTTTAGGCTTTAGGCTTTAGGGGTTTAGGGTTTAGGGTGTAGCCCCTTAGACCGATGCTGAACTTGAAAGTTTAAGGAACCCCTTGCATTTGTATTATGGCTGAAGGTTGCGGTTTTCTGTAGGATCTGTTTAGGGTCTTCTGTTTTTACATATCTCATACGGTGTTTACAGCAGTGAACCAGAGGCTGAGATTGAGGGCCAATGGGCTAATTACTGCTTCGGCAAATTACTGCTTCGGGGCTTCCACGGCGTTTCACACCCGACCGCCTGCACGCCCTCGCTGGTTCATTGCACACGTCTCTAAATCCTGAGCCCTAAAGCCCGTACATAAGGGGCCTGACTTGGTCGAGCAAGGTACTGAGGCTTGTCACAGTTCTCTTATGTCGACACTACAGACTACAGGGAATGTTATTCCTGACTATTCAGGCATCTGAACCCTTAAATCCTAGACCCTAAACCCTAGAACCCTAAACCCTAAACCTGCAATCCTAAATCCTAAACCATGGAACCCTAAACCCTGCAATCCTAAACTAACCCTAAACCCTGGAACCCTAAACCCTGCAATCCTAAGCCCTAAAACCCAAGAGATTCCAATGTCCCTTAACTAGGGAATATACCTTAAATCACATTAGGGATCCTACTATAATCTAAGGTATGTTCCTGAATTATATATAAGGGATATTGGAGTCTCTGGGCAAATCCCGAGGCCCGGGGCATCATCAAGCTGGCGATTGCCCTCGCGCATCCTGGCGTATCGAGGCTAGCGGGCTTTAGGGTTTAGGGGTTTTTTTGGGGGTTTAGGGGTTTAGGGGTTTAGGGGCTTTGGGGGTTTAGGGGGTTTAGGGGTTTAGGGGTTTAGGGGCTTTGGGGGTTTAGGGGGTTTAAGGGTTTAGGGGTTTAGGGGCTTTGGGGGTTTAGGGGGTTTAAGGGTTTAGGGGGTTTAGGGTTTTTTAGGGGTTTAGGGGCTTTGGGGGCTTAGGGGGTTTAGGGAGTCTCTGGCTCGTGGTCCTGCGCCCGAAGCCCAAGGCCCGAAACCTAAAAAACCCTAAGCCGAAGGCCCAAGGCCCGAAACCCTGAGCCCTAAACACAGCTTGGAAGGATTGAGGGTATAAGCTCTTCGCGTCTGAGTTTAGGCCTGCCAGGTTTGACGGTTTGGGGTTTCAACTTTGAGCTTAGCGTGTTCATCAAGGGCTCAGGGTTGAGCCCAAGAGTCAGTGTAAGGTTTAGGTATCAGGTTCAGGGTTTAGGGTTGCGGGTCAAGAAACCGCACAGCCCTGTCAAAACTGCTACAGACCCTATGGAGCAGCAAAGCCTAATACACTTATGGTTTCTGGCCCCACGGCATTGAGGTGAAAGTTTTGCAATACAGGGTGCAATTCAGGGGATACTGAGGGCTTACTATTCAGACCCACATACTAAGTTGGGGATTCAAGGCTTAGGGCTTCTGGTCCGAGGTTTATGGTCTAAGGTAACTGAACTTAAGGCTGGAGGGTTGGGAGGGCTTTCCACTACTAAGGCTGAGGGCTGTGGAGTTTTAGGGTTTAGGAAGGTTCGAGATGACAAACCCTAAACCCCAAACCCTTGCGGCAGAGTGGCTTGATGCATTGAGCGGTGTCCGCGACCCACGTTTGGAAGAGCCTCAGGGCAAGTACAGCACTCGCACTAACATAGAGATTGAGATAAAGTTAAAATGTGTAGGGTAGGGATTAGGATTCATTTTTCTTCGGTTTGGGGCTTTGAATTTGTGCATCGCATGTGATGCTCATGTGTTCGGCGCGAGGATGCAACAACATGGAATCCTGAATATAAAAACCCTAAATCCCAAAACTAAACTCTCCACTGTAAGGCCTGCAGTCTCCTAATTGAATCCTACACCTCCAACTTCCCCCAACGGGTCCCAGCCCAAACAGGCCTCACACCCATTCAAAGACCCCAAAACACGGAACCCTCCCTAAACCCAAAAGCCTCAACACCCAAAGACACTACACCACCAAAAGCCTCCTAATATCCTAACCCGAAAGCCCACACAACCTGAAGCCTAGAATCCAAAGATCCCAAAAACCGCTAAAAGAGCTTGTACGCAACCCTTATAGAATCCTTATGCAACCCTTCGAGAACCCATAGAGAGCCCGAAAAGGTCAACATGCTCCAGACCTGGCCCTGACGTCTTGAAACCCTACTCCCTAAACCTAACCCCTAAACCCCTAAACCCCTGAAGCCTAAACCCTAAACTCCTAAAACCTACATCCCAACGTCTAAACCCCAAACCATAAGCCCGTAACCACACAGAAGCCGAGCCCCCCCTTTCACGCGCTCCGTGCCCTAGCTTCTAAATATGGTAGGGTTTAGGGTTTAGGCTTTGGGGTTTAGGGTTATGTGTGTATCTATGCAGAAACCCAAAGGGTAAGAGCCCTAAACCCTGGACCCTAAATCCTAAACTGAAAAGCCTGCAGGGTTTAGGGATTCGAGTCAAGGACCAGGATTTGGGGTTCAGGGTTCCGGTTTCAATGCTCAGGGTTTGGGTGCTGAAGCAAGGCACTCTCTGACGCACCAGAAACAGCATGTGGATACGACATGGCGGAAGTAAACGAATTGATAATGCGAACTGTTTTACACGAAGCGCACGAACATTGCTGGCTTCTGCCGATCATGGCAATGCTTCATGTACTAGGACCTGCCGTGCTTGACACTGGCTACAGTCTTCTAGCACTTCGCGAAGCTTGGACCATCAAGGTCTGGTTAATGCACATAATTTCAAGAGGCTGGCAGACTCAAGGCTTTCATCACTCCTCCTTGAGCTACCTGGTGAAGGGAGATCACACACTCCATTCCGCAGTCTGCCCAGCTCATCCGTGACGTTCACGTAGGGAGTGCCCTCCATTATCACGGCAACACTGACAGAATCGCAAAGGTCGCGATCTTGCATTCCTCAATCCCCAGCATCGCTCATGGGTATGAAAGGTGTCGCCGTGGGGGGTAACATAGAGTGGTCCGGGATGCCACTCACGAACAGGGACTGGTACCGGTACATCACGATCCAGGTACTCGACGATTGGCACGTAGTCCTGATTAATCTCCGTCTGTGTAGCAGCATTAACAACGCATGGTCGCCTAGGCATAGGAGAACTCAACACCGAAGGAGGACCTGACGATGTTGACATAGAAGTAGATGCCCGCCTTGGCCTTGGTGGAGTAGTCGGAGGTCCTTGGTCATTTCCGGTAGGCGAAGCGGCTGCTTCGTGGATCTGGGTCTCGAGCTCCCGCTGAACAGCCTCTCGTAGTCTTCTCATTCTGCGCGCAGTCCTGGTTTCTTCGGGCCTCGTACAGCACCTGTCGACACACAGCCATATGAACTCCCAAAGCCCAACAACGGCTATGCCCATCACCAAGATCATCACGTAGAGCTCGAGGGAGGTGTTGATCGCGAGGGGCTCCGGTTGCTCCTGAGCACGTGTTGTCTGGACCACCATACACATCAACATAGCCTTCACCACTGCCTTTTTCGAAGCTTCATGAACACGATCCACAAAACCCCATAGTGCAGTCAACTCGACCAAGCGTTGCCGTGGGAAACTTTTCGTGAGTAGATCCGCCCACTGCTGCTTCCCAGGAACATAACGGATCTGAACTTGACTCGACTCCACCTGCTCGTGGATGTAAGCCGCCCTAACCCGCAAGTGCCTCGTCCTCCAAGAAGCCGTAGTTGAGGGCTGGGCGATCGCGATGGTAGCCTGGTTATCGATCCCCAAAATTATCGTCCGGGGTTGTGGCTCTATCTGACTGACAATCGCCTCCAAAGACTTTGCCATAGTCAAAGCTTCAATCGACGCCACCAACTCGCATTCTGCTGTGCTCAGGCATGTGAACGGCTGTTTGGCCGCCCTCCAGGATACGGGTGAACCCTTCCAGCTCAACACCACTCCTGTAAAGCTCCGGCTGCCCTGCGGGGCGAAGGAGCTATCCGAGTAGGCGATAAGCTCGCCCGATGTTGCCCTCATCGTCAAGGCCATATTTTTGGTCTGCTGCAAGTAGGCTAGGAGTCGCATGCCTATAGCAACACATCTAACAGCAGCGCGGGAAAGCAAGGAACCCATAGCACTGACAACGTAGCATATGTCCGGCCTTGATCGCTGGGCCAACCATAAAAGCTCGCCGCATAGCCGCTGTGCGGCTTTGATCTCCTCGGGGGTGCCCGGGGTCTCTCCTTCAAACGCTTCAAAGGTCACCATGTCGCGTGGTGCTTGCACTTGTGACAACGTAGTCCCCGCTATCCCGTGGTGGCGTAGTATCTCGTCGATGTAGGGCCGCTGGTGGAGGTAGAAGACGTTCTCATCTGATGTCGTTGATATCTCGCACCCAAGGAACCGTAGGTCGTGCTCCGCAGTCAACAGCTCCAACTCCGAAGTTTTCCATAACTGGGAAACTTTGGCCGCTACAGCACACACCAAACCTCTTGGTCCGCATAGCATAATATCATCAACATACACCAGGATCAAGCCCTCCGGAGGTCGATCTAGGGGTGCTCCAACTTCGTAAACCAACCACATGTTTGGCTCTGCAACACCCTGCTTCAGCCCGTAGACCTTGTTGTCATACTCGACGGTGATGCCTTTCAGCTCGGTATCCCGGTACTCTGCCCAAAGCCTCGGTGATTGGCGCAAGCCGTACATTCCATGCGTCAACAGCCACCTTTCGTTTCGGTCTGCCAAACCGAGGGCTACTAAAGCAGCGGGTGGCCTTATAACATATCGAACTTGCCCTCGTGATTGCGGGAGCGGAGTTAGCATAAAGGCTCCCGTCACGTCAACTATTCCAACCATCCAGCCCTGGTCTGCTGTATACACCAACACGCATCTCATGCTCTCGGCGGCGATGCCTCCAGCGAAGAGGTCGGAGCCCTCCTCGTCAGCAAAGTTGCCGCAGCACACCACCCTGGCCTTTCTACGACAGTAGACTCTCAGTAGACAGCTTCATCTCCAAGACCTGCGGTTGTAGTAGGTGTTGTGCTCGGAGGTTTGACGGTATACACCAGCTTGGAGGGGAGCTCCTGCACAGTGAACTCCTTTCTTAAGTCAGCGACCTCCTCAGCACGGATCCTCTTGAATCCCTTTTCAACGACACCCACCTCCTTAGCTATCGCGGACCGCCATTTTTCGATCACCTCCTTGGCCTCATGGGGGCTGACGTTGTAGGTGTGGCGCAACGGGCTTTGATGGTCGACCGCATTCTTGATGATCTCCTCAATTCCTGGGGTGTACTCAGGTTCGACCTTTGCAAGTCGTGGAACTTCCAAAGTTCCGATAGAGCTCCAATGCTCCAACCTGTCACCAAAGTTCTCAGCAACCTCTGGGCCCACCTCCTCCTCAGACAACAACTCTGATGCCCCAATCAAGGACCAAAGCTCATCACCAGGATCATCGGAAGAACCAATCCTCCTCAAGCACCGAACTTGATCACACTCTCCTGGTTCCATCTCCTCCTCGACGTAGTCCTCGACATAGATGGCCCAATCACTGAAGCTTCCTTCACAATCACCCACGGTAACCACTTCCACATCTCCCCGGTCAACATGAGATCCACTCGACGTAGTCCCGGAAGGTAAGTCAGCAGCCCTTAGTGCAGGACCCTTTTCCTGCTCTCCGTGGTAATCTTCATCTTCTTGACAAAGAGGAAACCCAGCTTGTTGTAGATATTGTTGGTCACCACGACTCAACCGAGAGAACCCTTGCGGCGTGTAGGCACTCAGAAACCACCGTCGGTGATCAATCATCACATAGGCGTGCGGGGTCATGGGGTTGAAGGCCGCCGGCTGCTCCGATACATCCACCACACAGCCATCAAACACCGCACCGTCTTCGGTCTCATATTGAAAATCTTCTAGTCGCTCACCTCCAACAACACCACGCTCGAGGCCTTTATCCTCAACCCACAGCCCTCCCTCATCTTCAGACTTCAGCTCCACAACGTAGTTGAACGTAGCTCGCTCATTGTGAACATCTCGATGACGGGGAATAGTCTCCGCACATTGAAGGGCTAAAGTGGTCCAAGTAGGACGTACATGTGGCCAACGAGCTTTTATCCTCTCATAGAGGTACATATTGAAATACTTCATGACCCATGGTAGATCTCGTCCATACCGAGTCACTCCAAATGACCCTCCATGGACAAAGGCACCCAGCACCAAGCCTTGCCCTTCAGGAGCACGTGGAACCTTCAAATTGCCACAGGTCCCCGCAAACAAACTCAGCAACTGGTGACCATCACTCTTAGAGAACTTTTTGTCCTGACACAAGCCACGCGCGACACCTTCCAGGTACTCAATCTCCTCCAACCGAAGATACTTCAGCTTACACTCCTCCTCCAACGAACCTTTCATACCCTGGGTAGCCTCAAACAGCTCAACACAAGGCTCATAAAGTTCGTCGAGCTTCGCGGCTCGGGGAGTCTTTGCACGAAGCCTCCTTTCGGGAGGAGGGACATCTGGTGGTGGTAAAGGAGGTTCTCCCTCTCCAGGGGCAGGAAGACTGGTTTCAGGCTCCACAACCACAGTCGGAGCAATGGTGTCCAAAGGAGGCGGCTCCCTGGTAATCCTCACATGGGTTGTCTGCACAAAGGTTCCGGTGTCCTTCAAAATGACA